AAATATTATAGACATGTACCATGATAATATGTTCAGTATACATTAATATAAATTTAGAGTGCTGTTATATATTTTTAAAATCTAATATATATATATATCATCTATTGAAAATCTAAAAACTCGATCTTTTCGTAGGGGTTAACCCACATAATTCAAGATAAATTTGAAATTTTTTTGATTTTTGTTTTAATGCATAGTTTCCTCATATACTGACATAGTATGAAGATGAAAAAGGTTTGAGACCTTAAATGTTCCCCTTTATCAAGAAAATAGAAATTTTGTAGGAGTTAGTCTACTAACTAAGTGGTATATGTAGTTTAATTAAATTACTCGTTAGAAAATTAAATATTATAGACATGTACCATGATAATATGTTCAGTATACATTAATATAAATTTAGAGTGCTGTTATATATTTTTAAAATCTAATATATATATATCATCTATTGAAAATCTAAAAACTCGATCTTTTCGTAGGGGTTAACCCACATAATTCAAGATAAATTTAAATTTTTTTTGATTTTTGTTTTAATGCATAGTTGCATCACATACTGACATAGTATGAAGATTAAAAAGGTTTGAGACCTTAAATGTTCCCCTTTATCAAGAAAATATAAATTTTGTAGGAGTTAGTCTACTAACTAAGAGGTGTATGTAGTTTAATTAAATTACTCATTAGAAAATTAAAAATTATAGACATGTACCATGATAATATGTTCAGTATACATTAATATAAATTTAGAGTGCTGTTATATATTTTTAAAATCTAATATATATATATATCATCTATTGAAAATCTAAAAACTCGATCTTTTCGTAGGGGTTAACCCACATAATTCAAAATAAATTTGAAATTTTTTTGATTTTTGTTTTAATGCATAGTTGCATCACATACTGACATAGTATGAAGATTAAAAAGGTTTGAGACCTTAAATGTTCGCCTTTATCAAGAAAATAGAAATTTTGTAGGAGTTAGTCTACTAACCAAGTGGTACATGTAATTTAATTAAATTACTCGTTAGGAAATTAAAAATTATAGACATGTACCTTGATAATATGTTCAGTATACATTAATATAAATATAGAGTGCTGTTATATATTTTTAAAATCTAATATATATATATATATATATATATCATCTATTGAAAATCTAAAAACTCGATCTTTTCGTAGGGGTTAACCCACATAATTCAAGATAAATTTGAAATTTTTTTTATTTATTTTTATTGCATAGTTTCATCATATACTGACATAGTATGAAGATGAAAAAGTTTTGAGACCTTAAATGTTCCCATTTATCAAGAAAAGAGAAATTATGTAGGGTATAGTCTACTAACTAAGTGGTGTATGTAGTTTAATTAAATTAGTCATTAGAAAATTAAAAATTATAGACATGTACCATGATAATATGTTCAGTATACATTAATACAAATTTAGAGTTTGGTTATATATTTTTAAAATCTAATATATATATATCATCTATTGAAAATCTTAAAAACTCGATCTTTTCGTAGGGGTTAACCCACATAATTCAAGATAAACTTGAAATTTTTTTTGATTTTTGTTTTAATGCATAGTTGCCTCATATACTGACATAGTATGAAGATGAAAAAGGTTTGAGACCTTAAATGTTCCCCTTTATCAAGAAAATAGAAATTTGGTAGGTGTTAGTCTACTAACTAAGTGGTATATGTAGTTTAATTAAATTACTCATTAGAAAATTAATAATTATAGACAAGTACCATGATAATATGTTCAGTATACATTAATATAAATTTATAGTGTGGTTTGACATTTTTAAAATCTAATATATATATATATATATCATCTATTGAAAATCTAAAAACTCGATCTTTTTGTAGGGGTTAACCCACATAATTCAAGATAAATTTGAAATTTTTTTGATTTTTATTTTAATGCATAGTTGCATCATATACTGACATAGTATGAAGATGAAAAAGGTTTTAGACCTTAAATGTTCCCCTTTATCAAGAAAAGAGAAATTTGGTAGGGTTTAGTCTACTAACTAAGTGGTATATGTAATTTAATTAAATTACTCATTAGAAAATTAATAATTATAGACATGTACCATGATAATATGTTCAGTATACATTAATACAAATTTAGAGTGTGGTTATATAATTTTAAAATCTAATATATATATATATATATATATCATCTATTGAAAATCTTAAAAACTCGATCTTTTCGTAGAGGTTAACCCACATAATTCAAGATAAATTTGAAATTTTTTTGATTTTTGTTTTAATGCATAGTTGCCTCATATACTGACATAGTATGAAGATGAAAAAGGTTTGAGACCTTAAATGTTCCCCTTTATCAAGAAAATAGAAATTTGGTAGGAGTTAGTCTACTAACTAAGTGGTATATGTAGTTTAATTAAATTACTCGTTNTATACTGACATAGTATGAAGATGAAAAAGGTTTGAGACCTTAAATGTTCCCCTTTATCAAGAAAATAGAAATTTGGTAGGAGTTAGTCTACTAACTAAGTGGTATATGTAGTTTAATTAAATTACTCGTTAGAAAATTAAATATTATAGACATGTACCATGATAATATGTTCAGTATACATTAATATAAATTTAGAGTGTTGTTATATATTTTAAAATCTAATATATATATATCATCTATTGAAAATCTAAAAACTCGATCTTTTCGTAGGGGTTAGTTAACCCACATAATTCAAGATAAATTTGAAATTTTTTTGATTTTTGTTTTAATGCATAGTTGCATCATATACTGACATAGTATGAAGGTGAAAAAGGTTTGAGACCTTAAATGTTCCCCTTTATCAAGAAAAGAGAAATTTGGTAGGGGTTAGTCTACTAACTAAGTGGTATATGTAGTTTAATTAAATTACTCATTAGAAAATTAAAAATTATAGTCATGTACCATGGTAATATGTTCAGTATACATTAATATAAATTTATAGTGTGGTTGGATATTTTTAAAACAACACTAAAGAAGCTAAAATCTAATATATATATATATATATATATATCATCTATTGAAAAATACTTTATCTTTTCATAAGTTAAATAAGAACATATGGTAATTTGTTTTAATGCACAAATTAATCATGGATTTAGATATGAAGAAGTATAAAGAAATTTTAGACCTTAACTGATCCCATTTCGTTTTTTAAAAAAATACAAATTTTATTGGGGATAATCCACTGAATTAAGTGGAATATGAAGTTTTAATAAATTATTCATTAAAATTTTAGAAACAATCTCCATTTACCATGAAGGTTTTTAACATACATTAATATAGATTTATAATATTATTAGGTGTTTTTATCAACAATAAAAATCTTAAACTTAAGTATATAGAATTTATCGAAAAACTTGATCTTTTCGTAGGGGTTAACCCACATAAATCAAGATAAATTTGAAATTTTTTTGATTTTTTTTTAATGCATAGTTGCATCATATACTGACATAGTATGAAGATGAAAAAGTTTTGAGACCTTAAATATCCTCCTTTATCAAGAAAAGAGAAATTTGGTAGGGTATAGTCTACTAACTAAGTGATATATGTAGTTTAATTAAATTACTCATTAGAAAATTAAAAAGTATAGATATGTGCCATGATAATATGTTTAGTATATATTAATATAAATTTAGAGTGTGGTTAGATAATTTTAAAGTCTAATATACTGTATAATGTATATCCTGGTAGAGACAGAGCAAGAGCAAGAGATGACCAATGAAAGACAAAACAGTAAATAGAAGGAACAACATAACATCGTTCGTTCAGAAACAGAAAAATGACAAGGTCCACAGCTTAAAGAAGAGAGTAAGATTGAAAAACATGAATTTGATCAAATCAAAAATCAAATTTGATTGGACTACTTTGGGAACTTGAGAAGAGTAGCATCGTTTCCCAGATAGTGAAACGGGAACCTTTGATTATTTGAAGATGAAGAAGTAACAGCATGGTCGTTATTACCGTTGTTACTCGAGTCACCAAAACATTTTGCTTGATGGTTCTGCACGTGCTGATTCATGTTGGTCGTAGTGAGAAGCTTGTCCAGAAACGTCCAGTCTCCACCATAGTTATTGTTAGAAGTCAGCCTCAATAGATTCTGTGAGCATTCAAGGTCTGTTGACGACACAAACGGTTGGGCCGAGTCAGGGCTAAAGAGCTGAGGGAGATGCATTGAACCGTGGCTTAAAGTGTTTGCAAACTCATGTAGTGGCATGTGAACCCTTCCTCCCATGTGATGATAATGATCCAGAGAATGTGGGATCAGAGAAGAGTGATTGTTTGAATTGGATTCAGTGTGATGCTGATGCTGATGGTTATCATGATCATTGTTGGTGCTTATGTATTGGAAATGATCTTGATCTTGTTCTTGGTGAAACCCTCTGAAGTGGTTCTTCTTCTTGAACACTCTGCATACAACCCACCCATCTTCCTGCAAGTATAAACATTATGCAAAATATGATCTCTATTTTATAAAATTCGATGTGGTCATTAGAGAGTTTGTTTGATATATTAGCGTACCTGGATCTCGTTTTCATTATCGTCTAAGCGGTATTCATGCATGATCCATTCTGTTTTATTGCCATGAGGAGCACGACCAGTGTAGAAGACTAGAGTCTTACGGAGTCCAATCTTCTTGGAGTTGTTAAGGTGTATAGATTTGTCTCTACCAGTAGCCTTCCAGAACCCGGCTGCAGTGGCCCGGTTCGTTCGGGTTCCGGTTGGATATTTCTTATCTTTGTGGCTAAAGAAGTACCACTCGTTCTGAGGACCCGACCCGATTCTACATTTCTCTATATACATACAAAAAAAATATTTATAAAATGTAAGAAAAGACCAAAATTAATTCAGTAATTTTATAAAGTATATAAGGCATATGTGGAGGGGTTTGTTACATGTCTATTTGAAAAAACCATTGGCTTATTTTGAGGGTATAATACATAATAATATTATGTCTATATTCCTAGTCATATACTACAAGACATTACACTTTGTCTTCTGTTACTAATCTAAAAGACATGAGTGAATAGACAACTTTGTCTCTTTCTTGATGTATATATATACGTACACGCGTATAAGGCTTCGTGGATGCATAAAAACTGGAAAATAATTTGAACTGATAAAACTTATAAGACATAATATATAAGTAGATACATGTTTCCATGGAGAAGCATACAAAACCCTAGACAATGTTACCCAGTCTATGTATTTGTCTTTTGACATCTAACTTGTAGTTTTGTGCAGAGACAACAATATAATTCATGTATTTTATGATTTTATCTATCTCATCTCTCTGCTCTACATATTAGTATTTAGATATATATGATGTTTATTTTTATTTTTTTGAACACAGATATATATGATGTTTATAGTGATATTCTATGTATAATACTGATCAATAAATAATACATAATCCATCATTAGTGTGTGGATTATTAGGTGGTGTGGTACATGTAGTTTAAGGACTAAAAGAGTTATTTATAAGTGGATACTAAGTCTTACCTTTAAGTTCCCAAGGCTCAAGCTTGTTGAGATCAACTTCTCTAATAACATCTAAATCAATTGGTTCATAAGAAACCTTCTTCTTGAGGTAATAATATAGAAGCTCCTCCTCCGTTGGATGAAACCGAAAACCTGGAGGAACCGAAAGCTGTCCTCCTCCAGCCACCGTGGACGACGAGCCTATCTCCATTATCCGTACTCTTCTTTAAGCAGATCAAATATGCTTTCCTTTTCTCCTTTGTCCTATCAATTACAAATAATTTATAACACAAGTTACATCAAGGTAAACCAAAGTAAATGACCAATGAACGGGGTTGTCACCATGTAGGAATCCAAAATATTGTCAAGTTATGAATTCTTTTTAAGAATTTTTTTTTAAAGAACCCTAGTTAAACATGCATGTACATATTCATAAAGACAAAATACTTTCTTCCACTAACATAAGCTGGATCTTTCTTAGATAGGTATGCACAAAAAGAACCTGAATATCCCAAACAAAACATGTTGTTGAAAACTGAACATGTGCTCTCTTAAACAAGAGAGTTTGATGATAGACTTAGTCATGTTCTCGGGTAACCAAAGAAAGTAAATGAAAATAGAGAGATGCTTGAAGTAAAAAGTACACATATTTATACGATGGTGTGTGAGTGTGTTCGTGTGTATATATATATATATGTATGTGATGATGATGATAACAATGAAAGATACAAGAAGCAAAAGGAAGGAAAACGAACCTTGGAGGCCGGAAAGTATTGCTTCTGTTAGAGGCAAGAGGTAGAGAAGACAATGAAAGAGAGAAGGCAAAGAAGCAAGCAAAATGAATTTCTACAAAATTGAAGATAGCTTAGCTTCAAGGGCACGATGTTTTAGGGTTTCTATCTCTCTCTTTCTTCTTCTATGAGATCGAAAGAGATGAAAGAGAAAGAGTTAGGTTTCTATGGATTAGTGCCACTATTATTTGTATTCAATTTAATAAACCAAAGCTGCTCACAGAAATATATGAGCATTACTTTAATGTATCTACATTCCCATTTCAACTTCTTCTTGATTTATATTTAAAACTTTATATAGTGTTATATATACATCACCTAAAAATAGATATCATCTTTAGAATAAGCAATTACTTATAAATCTTATGAGCAAATAAACTTGCAGATTCATCTTACAGCATACTGACTTGTTTTTTGGGTATTATATGCTGCAAATTAATCTTCCATTCTTACTCAACTAATTAACATGTTTCTTTTCCAATCAACTTATTTTTTTGTAAATTTTTAACTAATCGGGTGTAGAGAAAGTGTAGATATGGTATATCTACTGGAGAAATATATCTTTTGCGTGTGTGGCGTGGATATGCTTATGAGAATTAACTTGACTTTAATCACCATGGATTACAGCTGGTCTTTATTATGAGTGACTAATTTGCTTTGAAAACAAGTGAATTAAACAATACCGAACACTATTGAAATACAATGTATAATAGAAGATCTGATTTATGTATCCCAAGGACAAAACAAAACAAGAATTGAAGCTTCTATACCCTCAAATTGCAGTCAAATGTTGGGAAGAAAAATGATGCATCGTACCTTGAACTATGCTCCCTTTTACTTATTTATTGCATCAATTTCAGTGCAGTTTCATTAAAATTTTAGTACAAATGAGATTTTATTTAAACGGGTCCTAATGCTAGTATTTGTTTATACACTAGTACAACTGACATAAAACGTTGGCTCAAAAGTGTTCCCTTATTAACAAAACTAGTTAAATCCTGAGATAATAATGGTAGCTTTACTATATGATTGAGCTAATATTATGGTGCATTTCCACTTACTTAGTCATTTATCTTGTTACATCTTATACATGTATTGTAACTATATTGTTACATAAGAAGTCTCTTATATATATGGTTCAGTTCAGAGTTGTAATTCCCTCTCTGTTTCAAATTGCATTGGTTAAAAGAATTCATCTTCTTATTTGTCTAACCCCACATGTCCATCAAAGAATCGTTTACATATATGTATGCAGGATACAATATAACAAGTTATGGCCCATCTGTGAAATTTAGTAAATCACGAATATGATTTCCTGGTAAGGAAATCAACCATGTTGAAAGAAAGTCAATATGCAAACAAACAGACATGTAGATTTTGAGCCTTTGATATAGGAATGATTGGAACACAAAAGAGAAGAAATAACAGATGAAACCGCACGTAGGGAGAAGAGGCAAAATCCTGAAAGGCCGCGGAGCGAAGCACGTGAGGGTCCAACACAAAATCCTCACTTCAAGGTTCCTCGTTTGACTAATTAAACCCTCTCGTCTTGAGATTCGCGCCAGATTTTGATTCTTTTACCAAATAATATGGAAAAAAAGAGGTATGATATTATGGTAAATTCCTAAATTTCATGTAGCATACACGAAACACGTAAAAACATTGGATGCTCACGGTTAATCATCATCTCTTTTTAACAGTTTATGAAACTTACAAGTTTTTGTTGCCCAATATTAACTACTTTTAATTATCTTGTTGAGAAGTGCCGTTGCCTTTACGAAGACGTCATGCATTAAACCCTTATTAATGAAGTGGCTTCATCATATAGATAGATACCCAACATGTTCTGAAACTTATACTGATAGTTTTTTTTTTGAACAAATACTGATAGTTTAATATAATCTCCATTATGGCCAAGTGTTACATTGTTTATTGGTTGCTTAATTGACTCAACACGATGAGTAGCATAACCTACTAGTCCTATACATTTTATCCTAAACCCAAAAAACAAATTGGAGCCGAACCGAACCAAAAAAACGACATCAAAATCGGACCGAAATTTACAAAACCCAAACGGTTTTTATTTTTCTAAACCCGAAAAATCAAAACCGAACCGAAAATCGAACGGATACCCGAATATTTTAAATATAATAATAATATTAATTATTTTTAGTTTTAATATATATAAAATGTTTTTTAAATAAAAAAGATCCAAAAACCCGAACCAAACCAGAACTATTTCTAAATCGGTTCCAATTTGGGTTTTATAAAAAAAATAGAAACTTGACCCGAACCCGACATTATCTGAACCGATCCGATTCGAAATTTCTAGTTCCTAAACGGTTCCTAAACATCCTAACCTGAATAATCCAAAAATCGAATAATTCAAACTTACCCGAACCGAAAACCCGAATGCCCGCTACAACACGTTGCCGTTAAATGGGCCTTAAAGTATACGCCTCGGACAGTCGGCTCATTAGTCATATAAAGCCCAAACCCAAAGAACCTTATCCTCGTGTTATTATGTATTTATACTTTTCAACCCCTAAATTACTTTCGAACTTTCCATATTAACCCTTTACTTTCTTAATGCAACTCTTAAACCCAACTTTCTAAAATAACAAAAGTCTTCATTTCTCCCTCCGTTGCGTTACAGATTTGACTAATCATTTCCCCACGAAGTCATTCTCCTTCCTCCTCCAAAGTCAGCACGACGATCGCGTCTCGGTCTTCCTAGATATAAGACCCGCGAAAATCAATAAAAGGTTTGATCGTCGTGCAAGTAATTTCTAAGAAGTAAGCTTTTCAATACATTTCACGATGTAATCTAAGGACAATTATGAGTTTCTGGATCATGGGTATCGTAGATTTTGATGTGCATACGTTGTTGCTCGCTAAAAGTTTCAAAATTTAGAACGCCTTGTGGTGAAAAGAGATTATCTTTGTTTCATAAGAGTAGCTGTTTAAAAGCTAGTTTCTACCCTCTTTATTTGAGCTACTTGTGATTATCTTAATATCATCAATATTGTTATCGTTTAATTGAGTGGGAACTTGTTTGTTTGCAGGTCAATGGGGTCTTCTTCTGAGGCATGGATGAGAGATTACAATGAGGCTTTAAAACTCTCTGAGGATATTAATGGGATGATGTCTGAAAGGAATGCGTCTGGTTTAACTGGACCTGATGCTCAACGTCGTGCTTCAGCTATACGGAGAAAGATCACCATTTTGGGGACTCGATTAGACAGTCTTCAATCCCTTCTCGTAAAAGTCCCTGGGAAGCAACATGTGTAAGCTTTTTTTTAATATTTGTAAACCTCCAAATTTGACTACATTTAATTTCATGTTGGGTATGTGATGCACAGGTCAGAGAAAGAGATGAATCGTCGCAAGGATATGGTTGGGAATTTGAAGTCAAAGGTAAATCAGGTGGCGTCTGCTTTGAACATGTCAAACTTTGCAAATAGAGACAGCTTGCTTGGGTCAGATACAAAGCCTGATGATGCAATGAACAGAGTCTCTGGCATGGATAACCAAGGCATTGTTGGATTTCAACGACAAGTTATGAGAGGTATGATGTGTTAATGTCACATTTACACTAGGACGATAGTGATAATACTGGCTTCTGTATTAATTTTCTATGCGGTTGCTTCTTTTCCTACCATGAGTAGAACAAGACGAAGGGCTGGAGAAGTTGGAGGAAACTGTCATGAGTACCAAACATATTGCGCTCGCTATTAACGAGGAGCTCACTCTGCAGACCAGACTTATCGTATGTATCTGCTCTGTTCTTTTCATTGTTTTCCTGCTGAATTTTCTTGTTTGAATAACCTTTTTTTCCCTGCTTGCAGGATGATTTAGACTACCAAGTTGATGTTACCGACTCCCGCTTACGGGTAATTACATTCTTTGGACTAACTAAACTTAGTTAGTCATGAGCTTAAATTAGTCCATTGATAAGTTGGTCCGTGGCATTAAATGGCAGGAGCCATCTTATAATAAGCGTAGTGATCATCATACACTGTTCTTTTTATGTCAATATGTAGTTGCTTTCGTAATCTTAAAAAGTAAGGTTTATTGTTTAAATATTTTTTGATTTGAGTCACATTTGGACTTAATGTGACCTGATTGTGTGTTTCTTGATAATGACAGCGTGTGCAGAAGAGCCTTGCAATGATGAACCAGAGTATGAAAGGAGGTTGCTCATGCATGTCCATGCTCTTGTCAGTGCTTGGAATCGTTGGTCTTGCTCTTGTCATTTGGCTTCTGGTTAAGTACCTGTAATGCCACCAATATGATGAATCAAAATTGTCTTGTGTGCTTTGGTTTTTCATTCCTTCTTTTGATGCTTCTTCCTCTGGGGGGAGACAAGATGAATATGGCTGCGTGCAAGAACCATCAAAAAAGTATATAATCTGTATTGCTTTCATATGTTCACGAAATGTAATCAAAGTTGTGTGTTTGTGTATATGACTCCCACTTTGTTCACTAAATGTCTGTATAACAAGCTCTTTGTTCTTGTGTGGATTATACTTTGTTCTTTTCTTTGCACAAGATATGTATAAAGAGAAAGAATGACACTATATTACTATAACATGAAGCAATTCTGTGGTTTGCGAGAGTGTCTTCTCGCCTTTAATATACAATTTACCATTTCTTTGATGACAAGAAAAGAGTAACTATGGGACTGGTGAAGGTGACGGTGTTGTGGCTCGAAGGAGCTGTTGCAGAAACCGAGCTGCTAGACGTTGCCCTACACCTCCTGCAACACGTCCTCCAAGTCTTCTTGCTTCTGGTTGTTGTAACACCTGATTCACAACAACACCAAACCAAGAGTAGTACTTAAGCACACATATCAATCAAGTACATTATCATTATCAGGTTAGTGCACAATGTCAATGAGATTATTACCTGCACTATTGGCTGCAAAATAGCTGGGTCAAAGCTTTCTGAAGACTGAAGAAGGCTCCAGATTCTTGAGACCTGGTCCCTTAGCTCAAGCGTGCTTTCGAGTTCCGTGGGATTCATTGTCAGAGGGCCATTACCATTTCCATTAAAGACGAGAGATCTCATAAACTCAGGCATGGAATTGTACGTATCAACAACACTTCCCAAAGCAAACGCTTCACTGACTCTCACAGCTTCTTTAACTACCAACAGTCGAAGCTCTTCTCCGTTTGGATCCAGCAGCAGCTTCAGTACAGGCTGTAGAGCATCTTTTGATGAGAAATCCCTATCTTTACTTCCCTGTTGTAAAAGGTTCTCAAGCCTATTCCACCTAAACTTTCCATCTTTGAACAGAAGCTCAATAAGTGCATCTCTCAGATAAGGGTTCTGATCAGTGAGAAGCCTTTTAGCAAAATAAGGGTATGATGCAGCTAATACTTTGAAATCAGGATCTGCGTAAAGTGCCAAACCTTCAAGCACAGTAAGCGACCTCAGAATCAATGCATAGTAGGCTGGAACATCAAATGGATACTGATAGAAGACAGCACCTAAACCATCAACCAGTGTTTTGAAATTAAGCTCACTAACTGTATAGTTAAGTGCATCGTCAAAGAAGTCTCTTAGAGCTGGTACAATGGGAGTAACATCTACATCAGGAGCCAAGAACTTCAAAGCATAGTAATCTCTAGCCATTGCTTCATAATCTCGGTTGACCAAATGCACAACATGGCCTATGATAGCAAATCTAGCTTCCTCCGGTGTCTCACTCATCATACCAAAGTCAAGAAAGGCAAGTTTCCCATCAGGTGTCGCCAAAAGATTACCAGGATGAGGGTCAGCATGGAAAAAACCATACTCCAATAGCTGCCTTAAGCTACACTGTATTCCTGTATTCACAAGATCAAGAACCTTCAAACCTTGACTCTCGATAGCAACTTGCTCGTTCAGTTTAGTTCCCTCCACCCATTCCATTGTCAGCACCTTGCGGCTAGTGTAATCCCAGAAGATATCAGGAACAAGAACATCAGCTTTATCAGCATACAGTTTCTTGAACCTCCTAGCGTTTTGAGCTTCCTGGACGTAGTTTAGCTCCTGATAAACTCTGCAGGCGAACTCATCTATAAGGGTGAGGACATCGGTGGTGATGAAGTCCACATACTTGTTAATGAGTTTCCCAACTCCTCTAATGAGGTAGAAGTCAAGACCAATAGCTTCTTCGATCCCAGGGCGTTGGACTTTGACAGCAACAACTTGCCCTGAGTACCTAAGCTGAGCTTTGTAAACCTGGCCAAGACTAGCTGCTGCGATAGGGTCAGGGGATATAGTCGAGTAAATGGATTCTAGAGACAGATCCAACTCTCTTTCAATGCAAGCAAAGGCCTCTGCATCAGGGAAGGTGGGCAAAGCATCCTACTTAGGCACTCAAAAACACAAAAGAAACTAAGTTAGTGAGAGATGGTTCTCCTTATCTATATGAGGAAACTAAGAGGAGAAGAACCTGAAGCTCAGCAAGCTCTTCAAGGTAATCAGGTGGACAGAGGTCTGGTCGTGTAGATAAACCTTGACCCAACTTAACAAAAGTGGGCCCCAGACGAGTGAAAATCCTTCTAAGCTCACCAGCTCTCTTCTTCATGTTCACTTCTAACTTCCCTTGCCTCTGATCAATCCCCAATTTAAGCGCGAAACCACCTAACGCTGTTAATATCTCCACACTTCTCCTCAAAGCCTAAAAAATGCATAATCTTTCTCTCTAAGTTTAATAAAGTTCAAAACTTTACAAAAGATTCAAATTAAAAGGCTTAACCTTTAGAGGCTGAGAGCCATGTTTTCTAGCGATAAGCTCTGGAGAATAAATAGAAGCGTCAACAGCACGACTCAAAGCTCTTGCCTCTGCTTGAAGATCATCAGCGAGTTCAGCACGTTTGTATTGTACAATAGGTGCAGGAGTTGGTCTCGAGGAGGAGGGAGGACTTGGCGTTGCTCCATCTTCTCTTGGTCTAGCTTGAACAAGAGCTGCACGTGTTGTTAATCTCTTTCGGTTCAAAAACTTGGACTTTAAACCGTTTCTTCTCGAATTGGGGAAGGAAACAGCATCACTGACTAGTGTTAATCCCAGAGACTGGCCAAACACAAGACTCCTCATCGTGTAGCCGCGAAAACTAGAGAGAGAGGGGAGAAAGAAGAAATGATTCAGATTGTGATTACTCTCCTCAGCAAGTAACAGCCAAGAAAGAGAGAGAGAGAGAGAGAAATGAGAGGAGATATTTGTAAGCGTGAGATGGAGAGAGTTACAAGTTTATTGTTGGTTTGGTTACTTCACATAAAATTAAAACTCATCAAAAAAACAAGGTCCACACTTGTGGCGTGCCGTGACGTTCTCTATTTTTAACTAGGAGGAAACTAAATAAGTTACAAAAGACAAACGGAATTAAAAACCAAACCTATCTAGAGCACAAGATTTGTTGGATTTTTGACATTTATAATTTCAGCCATGACCATTATTCCTCTTCTTCCTTTTTTTTTTATTTGTGAATGTACGTAGCCAAAACAATATCCACAACGGACTTGATATGACACTTGAAAGCGGAGTCGATATTTTTCTGAGTGTAGGTTATTAATCAGTAATTTACCTTGTATGCAATTCTCTTAGTTTCGTCCTGAATCCACTTCCTGATGGTGAACCTCAAATCCCTGCCCAAAAACATTGTGTTCGAATGGCGGAACGGAACAAGTGCATTCTTCCCCATTTGTATTTCTCATGCACTATTTTTACCATTCACCGTGTTATGTTTATAAAAGCACTTTAAGCATATTTGATGGTGTTAAACTGTTTTTATCATTCAATCTTTGCTAACATTTAATCGTGTTGAACAGTTTTTTTCACTAATCAATCACTAACTTTAAATATATTTATTTATTTGACTTTATAAATAATGAATAACGATTAGTTCAAACAATATTGTTCACACTAAATACTATTTGTATCAATTTTAAAATTATAAGCGTATTTTTAAAATTACAAACACATCATTTTTAAAATTATAAGTATAACATTCAACAAAAAAATAAAAATCTTTCTATATAAATAGCAATAAAGAGTTTAATATTAGTAACCTCACGGTTCTTCAAAGATAATTTTGATCAAGTAAAACGAATATAGAAGAAGTACAAGCATTTTATGAAAAATTCAGTAAACATTTCGGCTAATCCTACAACATCTAAAATATTAACTTTGATATAATTTTTTATTCTTTTAATATATGATCAATAATTTTGAACTGATTTTGTCATTTATAATTTATAATAAATTGTTTGATTCTCTTCCGATTGATCTCCTTTTATCATTTTAAACGAAAAAAGTAAGATATTTAACCATGTCCTATTTTCGGCTATGACACACCACAATTAACTTAAGGACATTATGATATCTATGGAATACAAACCTCTAGGGCTTCAACCACTTTTAACATATGACAGTAACAGTAACAGTTGGAGGGTTCATACCCTAAATCCTAGGGTTTCAAACTCTAAATCCGAGGGTTCATAACCCTAAAACCCTAAACTTTACGGTTCCAAACCCTAAATCCGAGGGTTCCAAACCCTAAAACCCTAGAGTTCTAAACCCTAGAACCATAGACTCTAGGGTTCCAAACCCTAGACCCTAGGGTTCCAAACCCTAAAACCTAGACCCTAGGGTTCCAAACCCCTAAACTAGGGTTCCAAACCCTAGACCCTAGGGTTCTAAACCCTAAACCCTAGGGTTCCAAACCCTAAAACCCTAAACCCTAGGGTTCCAAACCCTAGACCCTAGGGTTCCAAAACCCCTAAACTAGGGTTCCAAACCCTAAAACCCTAGGGTTCCGAACCCTAAAACCCTAGACCCTAGGGTTCCAAACCCCTAAACTAGGGTTCCAAACCCTAAAACCCTAGGGTTCCAAACCCTAAAACCCTAGGGTTCCAAACCCTAAAACCCTAAACCCAAGGGTTCCAAACCCTAAACCCTAGGGTTCCAAACCCCTAAACCCTAGGGTTCCAAATCCTAGACTCTAAACTCTAGACCCTAGGGTTCCAAACCCTAAAACCCTAAACCCAAACCCTAGACCCTAAACCCTAAAACCCTAGGGTTCCAAACCCTAGACCCTAGACCCTAAACCCGAGGGTTCCAAACCCTAGACCCTAGGGTTACAAACCCTAGACCCTAGGGTTCCAAACCCTAAACCCTAGACCCTAAACCCTAAAACCCTAGGGTTCCAAACCCTAGACCCTAGGGTTCCTAAACCCTAAACCCTAGGGTTCCAAACCCTAGACCCTAAACCCTAAAACCCTAGGGTTCCAAACTCTAGACCCTAGGGTTCCTAAACCCTAAAACCCTAGACCCTAGACCCTAAACCCTAAAACCCTAGACCCTAGACCCTAAACCCCAAACCCTAGACCCTAGGGTTCCTAAACCCTAAAACCCTAGACCCTAAACCCTAAAACCCTAGTGTTCCAAACCCTGGACCCTAGGGTTCCAAACCCTAGACCCTAAACCCTAAACCCTAGGGTTCCAAACCCTAGACCCTAAACCCTAAATCCCTAGGGTTCCAAACCCTAGACCCTAAACCCTAAAACCCTAGGGTTCCAAACCCTAAACCCTAGGGTTCCAAACCCTAGACCCTAGGGTTCCAAACCCTAAAACCCTAAACCCAAACCCTAGACCCTAGGGTTCCAAACCCTAGACCCTAGGGTTCCAAACCCCTAAACCCTAGACCCTAAACCCTAAACTCTAGGGTTCCAAACCCTAGACCCTAGGGTTCCAAACCCCTAAACTAGGGTTCCAAACCCTAAAACCATAGGGTTCCAAACCCTAGAACCCTAAACCCTAGGGTTCCAAACCCTAAAACCATAGGGTTCCAAACCCTAGAACCCTAAACCCTAGGGTTCCAAACGAAAAAAGTTCCTGCAAATTTACATTCAATCCAAGTTCCTGCAAAACAATACAGAGATGTCTACTGAACAAATTTTTTTTAAAGAAAAAATCTAACAGAAAAGCATCAAAAGGAAGTAAGTACCTGGAATATAGACAAGAGAAGGTGACGACAGGATCAGTGGCTGAGATAATTAAGAGAGCCAAACATGAGAAACATCAAAGCGCCATGTTACCTTCAATTGGAAATAAAACGTATGTAAAAACTAAAAGAGAACCTTCTCAGTCAACAAACAGAGATACATACACTAGCACGCCAGTTACATTGTAAGATACAAAAGTTCCAAGTACATAAAAAACAAAAAAAGTGACAGTGGCTCCAAATTAAGTCTGAAAAGAAAGGTCTCTGCTTAAAACCCAGTCACAAAGTAATTATCACTAAGAAGTCACAAGCAAAACAAATAAAGACTTGAAGCTGAAACAGAGTGTGGAAGAGCCTAACACAATCATAAGCGAATGCCTTTGAGAAGAGTGAAGAATGGGACATAAACATTCTATATAAAAATTGAAGCTTTATGAGAGTATTCATTCAACAGAAGCTAATAGACAACGTAAGATAAGTCCATCAAAGCTAAAACAGAGCGTCGTAGAAAGTAAAAGCTAAAACAGAGTGTGGAAGAGCCAAAGCCTAATACAATCATACAAAAAAAAACAGAGTGATATCAACAAGGAACAAAGAGATCTGATTTAGTGAAAACGTATCAGCACACAAGCAGACTCTTAAACCTCCAAAAAAAACTCAATTTAAATCTCCAAAAAAAACTCAATTTAAATCTCCTTCACGGATCGAATCTCAAATGGAAAAAAAAAATTGATTTCTAAGATTGAAATGAATCACCTTTGAAGGAAAACAGACGACGTTGAGACAAGTACCACCCGAGAGCGCCGCGCTTCTCGATACAACAATAGCTTCAGGTAAGAGCTTATGACATAGAGAGGACAAGCATCATGATCTGCGTGCGGCTTGCTGCTGCTGCTTCTCTGTCCGGAGAAATCTGCAGCTCCGACATTACGCCTCCAAGAAATACAAAAAAATATATCTCTGTGTCTAGTTAAATCTCTGTAATAAAACAATGTTGTTGGTTCTCCGACATTACCGTTGTAATAAAACAATGCTTTGGTTCCCGACATTACCGTTGTAATAAAACAGTGCCACTGTTTTGTCAGGTGGATTACCTTTTTGAGCTTTAATGGGCCTTACAAGTTATTGAGCCCAATACAGTTATTTCGTTAAACTACTCCTTAAATCATTTTACGGTTGTTATTATACTAATATTTTAATCTAGTTAAACATAAAATTAAGTTATTTTAATTTATATTTAAGTAAAATATATATATATCTATATATATATATTTATATAAATTTATAATCTTAGATAGATTTTCGATTATTTTCTTTGGTTAAGATGTATTAAATCAAATTTGTATATTTATTTTAAATCAGTTTTTTTTGTAATTATCAAAAAATAAAACAAAATATTTTTTTTAAATATCAAAAGTAAGCAAATGATATTACGATTAAAATTTATAATTTCTCTGATTATAAAATAGACTTATATAATATTTTTTTGTAAAAAATATTTATTAATAATATAATATCATATTTTTGTTTTTATATTTATTTAAGATAAATAAATATATATATATATATATATATATATATATATATATTTGGGAGAATTGGTAAGAATGATCCATTAATAATATCTTTTTGAGAAAAGGGAATTAACAAGCTTTGATAACTCTATTTAATACTTAGTTCGTTATCACTTTTGGGTGTGACTAAAGAAAAACTCAAAGAGGTATTTTGTTCATCATTACTTTGGCTCAACTTTTGTCATAACAGAGTAACCACCACTATAGTCAAAAGCTCCTTCTCCCTCTCTTGCTTCTTTCTTCCTCAGATTCTCTCCATACAAAACCTTATCTCCACCTTTCACGCCTCCAAAATCAGTTGCCGAAGACGAAGCTGAAGCAGAGGAGCTACTAGTGCTCGCTCCACTGTTCTGTATAATAATCTCAATCTCCTTCACTACTTCACTCATCGTTGGCCTCTCAGCCGCCATCTCATCAACGCATTTTAACGCTAACTCCATGTAACGTCCGAGTTCTGGCAAAGCTCCGGAGTCTCTCAAGGAACGGTCCATCTTGTCTCTCAGTCCGTAGAACTCCTCGTCGTTCTTGTTCATTACGAGCTTGATCTCTCGGACAATGTACTTGCCTTTCTCTATAGGTTGTTTTGCTGTGATCAATTCTAGTAACACTACGCCGAAGCTGTACACGTCGCTCTTCTCAGTAAGTTTCTGTGTTGTGTAGTATTCTGGATCCAAGTATCCCTGCCATTGACAGTTGTTATAAAGGATGTGAGAAAAATATTGTAGATTATAATAACTAAGTGACTGGCTTGGCCTAGACCAATGTTTAGAACATTGTATTCAAGACATATCAACATATAGTTTCTTCAATAATGAAACATTACCAATGTGCCTTTGACTTGGGTTGAGACATGTCCTTTGGTGCAATCAGAAACAAGCTTAGACAAACCAAAGTCAGCAACCTTGGCAGTGAGATTCTCATCCAAAAGAATGTTGGTTGATTTCACATCCCTGTGGATGATGGGAGGATCCGCTAGTTCGTGTAGGTAAGCTAGTCCTCTTGCTGATCCTAGAGCTACTCTCAGCCTCCTTTTCCAGTCAAGGGCAATACCTGATCGTCCTATAAACAATGCACAAGGAGTTAAAATGTATCTGAATATTTTGTAAAGACCAGACTGTGCAAGTACCTGTTAAGCTATCTTTTAATGATCCGTTTGACATGAACTCATAGACCAAAATCTGCTCGCCTTGTTCGAAACAAAACCCAATAAGACCAACTAGGTTCTTGTGATGAACTCTAGAAAGCAACTCAATCTCTGTTTTGAACTCGTGACCTCCTTGTGTTGATCCTTGTTGTGCTCTTTTGATAGCCACCATCTGCCCATCTGAGAGCATTCCTTTATACACTTTACCATAACCTCCAGAACCCAACTCGCTGCTCATGGAGAAGTTGTTAGTGATCTTCTTGAGTTCTTCATAGGAGAACCATCTAGCTCCTTTCAGCTGCGGCGCGCCACCACTGTCTTTCCCACTTGATGCCCATGAAACTGAGATACAACCACTCCTTGTCTTAGCTAATCAAAACATTCATTATATAACATTATATTGTTTCTATAATATTTGACTTACCAAACGGTCTACTCAAACCTATAGCTTGCTCTGCACGTCTCTTCTGCCAAAATGCATATATCCCTAAGGCTACAAGGCACAGAACCAAAGCGCTGCAACCAGTTATTATCCCAGTGACCATCCTAGAGCTCAAGGAGTGTCCATTTCCTTCAGCTGCAAATAGTTTCAGGATTGTTAACTTCTAAAAGAGGTATATAAGGTTTCTTTATGTACAAGCTACCTGGGAAAGTGTAGGGAGATGCAATGAAGTAGTAAGGTCCAAAAAGTGGAGGAGGTTTGTAAGTTTGGTTACTCAAGTCAAATCCAATTCTCTGTACTTCACTTCTGTTGAAATACTTCCCCATAGATGGGAAAAGTTCCAACTGTATCTGGAGATAATCATCATTGTTGAAGAAAGGGTTTTGTAAAGAGACTGAGCCTGGAGTGAGTCCTAGCTTCACCCACAAGCTCATCTCTAGTGAATGGTATGTGTTTGCATTGGTCAGGTCTCTGAACATAGGCCCTCTGAAGTAGAGTGTGCCTTCATAAGGGTAGGCGCATTCACAGCTCTGAGGGCTGACCTTTTGGTCTAATGGACAAGATTTTCCTCCACAGTTTGCAAGACTGGTCGAGTATATTCTTTTGGCTTGTTTCTGCTGAATCTGGCAGTAGTTTGTGTTGGAGAGAGCTGTTGTGCATACAGGGTTTCCTACAAGTCTACAAAACAAGAGACGTTCGTTTAATAAGTTTGGTAGAGAAGGTTTTAGTTACTAGTAATTATAAAGAAGAGTTTTCACATTAGTGTATTGGTGTATCCAGAGCTGAGTGTTACAGAGGAGATGTCATTATCTTGCAGATCAACTAATTGTAGCTGTGGACCTACTGTGTCTCCCAAGCTCAGTGTTCCATTGAATGCATTCTTTCTCAGTTTCCTGTACAAAATGCAAATCAGATTTGGGATGATATTTAAAGCTGTTGTTAACTTTGATGGAGACTTACACTTGCTGAAGCTGTGGGTATTCAAAGAGCTTGTTAGGCAGTGGTCCATGAAGAGCTCCATACTCCATCACCCTAGATTCAGTAAAAGAAGATATGTTTACAGATTGCCTCATGAGATTGTAAACTGTAGCAGAGAAGCACTTACAGTGTGGTCAGTGAAGGTAAGGTTGAGAACCAGAGAGGAGACTCTGATGGATCAAATGAGTTGTTGCTCAGGTCTCTGTAACATATATCATTTTGTCACAAAAGTGCAGCTGACAAAGGCGGTTTCTGGTGGTGAGAAACTTACACATAGTTCAAAGATTTCATGTCTGATAAATCTGGTAAAGATCCTACCAGCTTATTGTGGGCTAAGTTCCTGAGAACCACAAGTAAAACAAATGTAATCTCTCATTAACTAGACTTAAATTGATCCATCTGTAAATATTACAAGTAGTAATGTTATTACACTCACAGTTCAATGATGTTTGTGAGATTGCTAAGATTCTCAGGAACTTTTCCGGTCAGAGTGTTTCTGTCAAGCCGCCTGATGCAAATCCAAGAGTGTGAGATAGTGGAAGTAGAAAAGAAGTATGAAGCTAAGGTACATAGAGATGGTACTCACAGAACCTCTAGTGTCTGAACAAGCCCCAAAGTGGAAGGTATGCTCCCTGTGAATTGATTTCCATCAAATAATCTGACATTTCGAAACAAAAACCATCAGTAACCTTAAATTTTGAGAGAAGTTCAGTTTTGATTGAAGAACGTTATTTGACTTACACATGGATCAATATCATCTCAGAGCTGAAAAGTTTTGGTGGAATAGTGCCTGAGAGCTGATTCTTATTGAAGTGACTGCAAATTGTTTTAAACATTTGCATCATATGAAGCTGAAGACATACACAGATAGAAGATGTCTTGCTCTTGTAACAAAAATACTCACAAGTGTTTGCATTTTAACAGAAGATCAAGACCAGGACTAGAGTTTGATGATATTGGAATGGGTCCTGTCAACTGATTATCCGCAAGATCCAACCAGTAGACTTTGCTTAGGTTTCCTAGAGACGCAGGAATTTTACCAGTGAAGTTATTCGAGTTCAAGGCCCTGGAGAACATTTGATGGAACCCATCAGACATTGATTTGATTTCAGGACAAGAAGTATTAGAGGAGATTCTTACAAGAAAGATAGATCTTTGAGATAACCAATCTCACTTGGGATGCTACCAGTGAAGCCACATCCAGCAAGAATACTGAAAATCCAATTAGATTGTTTGTTAAGATACACAAAGATAGCTTAAAGATGTGTGAGCGCCAGAGAGATTCTTACAGAATGTTGAGCTTTTGCAGGTCTCTTAAACGGGAAGTAAGCGAACCTGTGAGTCCTGGATTAAAAGAAAGGTCCCTGAAACAACACAAAGACACCAGTTTCAGGTATGAAGAAAAAAACAGATGTTCATGACTTGTGAATCATCGAAAAGAGACTAACAAGGATCTTAGTTCAGATAGTTCTCCAATGTCTCCACTAAGCCTTCCTTTGAGACCCATTGTTGACAAACCCCTAAACACACAAAAGACTTGCTTGCTCAGTACGTTACTAAAATGGAGTATGAATGTGAGTATTAAGCAACACTCACAAAGCAGTGATTCTTGAACTATTGCAGGAGACACCTTCCCAAGGAGTTCCACAAGGATCATCAGAGCCTCCCCAGCTAGGTGGTGTGTTGTCCCATTGATCCATCAAAGAACGAAGAGCCGCCGCTAATAGATACCAACAAAAACAAAGATCAAAGAAGTATTACAATCATTTCCAGAAATCAGACTCGAAGCAAGGGAAGTACCATCACGAGGGTCAGTGACTGATGAAACCGTTGAGAAGACAGTGAACATGTAAGAAAGACATATCAAGAGCAACCTCAAAGTTGTTGCAGCCACCATTGTTACTCAAAATACATGAGTTCTTGAGGTTTGATATTTAAGTGAATTTTTTTGAGATAGTTTCCTTGTGAGACAAGATTAATCATTATTTCATCAAGAAAGACAAAAAGTTATAAAGAAGTGTGCCAATAAGAACACGAGTGGCAGGCACCAAGAAGAGTTGGTTACTTGGTTTCATTTGCTTTTTAATCAATTTTCCTTTACTTCGAAGTCAATTTAACGGCTGGTATGTCTCTTTTTCAGAAAATAATTTTAGTTATTAAAAACATTTTAGTGATACATATCCAAATAAGTACAAAATCATTTCAGATAAACCAATACGCAAAATAATCATGTAAGCTTAAGTTACCGTTAAGCTATGTTTTCTAATCAAAGCAACCTTCTTCCATCATTATGCTAAAGACAAAGAAGATAGTGGAACATACAACTACAAGTGGGTCATGTCCAGTACCAACCATCTCAATATTCCCAATATTTGTTAAAACAGAGAGAATAAAAACAATTTGTTTTATAATTTTATAAGCTTCATTCAACTAAAAAACTAGAATTCTAAGAATATAAATTTCCAATCTGAATATAAGTCCAAATTTTGATATTATTAATTAAACTATATTAATTTTAAGCATTTTGAAGTTAATATTCTACTAAAAACATCATATGAAAGCAAAAGTAATTTCTATATCGTTTAAAATGTTTTTTTTGTGGGCAACATCTATCTTATTAAAGTTGTAGTACTCTTTAGGTTTGTTTAGAAACTGATATAGTAGTAATAAAAAATTTAAAGTTGTTTGGCTATCAGAACACCTTAAACGTGGATATCTATATATTGCTTACTTACATATTTATCTTATTTTTCAATCTAACAAATTGATAGCTAAACCATTAAATATGCTTTCCCAAATCTTAAAAAAATATCTAATATTGATTACTCTATAATCTTGCTTAGCAAGATCTTCTTATACCGGCCAGATATCTCATTTATTTTCCAAACGAGGTTCCATATATTGCACACAAAATTTTAACAATATCAGCCAAGGAATAACGTATATTACGGTATATTCTCACCATAAATACAACTTACCATACCCTTTTCATCCATCTATATATACAGAGTGTAGAATTGGAGTTTTAATGTATATTCGCACAAAATCAAACAGTTTTTAAGATAATAAAAATTTAAAACAATAAAAGAAATATTCAGTTTTATTTGTTGTTGACTAACTTAAAAATAAAAAAAAAGTTTTAAAGATAATAACAATTTACATTTCAAATAATTTAATACTCAAATATTTTTTTATCTAGAGTATTTTACATTATTCAAATTATCATAAAGACACAAAATAATTGAATAGCTTTAACTAAAATATTAAAATTTTGTTTTCGTAACTGGATATTTACCCCGATCAATCTAAAATTAACCCTAGAAATCGTAACCAAACCGCTATCATAGTGGAACCAAAAATTTATCTGATATTAGGCGGTTATTATAATTGTTACCAAACCCAGCTCAAACCAAAAGAATCGAACATGACACAAATCAATTTATATAGATAAATGAACTGATCTTTTATCTATAGAAGTAAAAAAAATACGAACATAAGGAATTCAACAAAAATTGAACCCAAAATCAAGCTCCATTCCTATTACATTCAATAAGATCATAGTTTCTAAAATACGGTAATAACCGATGACTTATGAGTATATTATGCTTTCCTAAATTAAGTTAAACCCGCGCTGGTGCGCGGGTCAAGATCTAGTATCTTTTAAAACATTATCCTTCATGTTTTATCAACAAAAGTTGATTTGTTAATGAAAGTCTTAATATTTTCTAAAATCTCTAAACATTATTTATTGTGAGACCATGTGTTAAGGAAAAATTATACAATGGTCAGCAAATAATGCTTTGCTAAAACATTTTACTACAAAAACTATTAATTTTAATTTTGTTGTTTCTTGTGAATTATATATGTATGATGAACAACCCTACATGTCTGAAATATTTATTGGAAGAAGAAGAAAAAAAACAAAAGTTGGTTATATGAAACAAAGAACATGGTGATGATGTGTGGTGTTTGTGTAAGTTTAACTTAGAAGCACACAAGTAAACAAACAAAAACGTCACAACCATTTTCTCCAACTAGCTGATCTAAGCTCACCAGAGAAGAACCTTGGAATGCTCAATAAACTATTAACCCTAGTCAACCCTTCCAAAGCAGACCACTCTTCATCATCCTGTGCAACCGAAATACATTCAGCAAGTGTCATTGTCATCATCTTCGACTCAATCCCACAACTCTTAGGAGTACTTTCCTCCTTAACCTGAACAATCTCATCCTCCTCCTCTTCCTTGTTACTGATACTCACACTCTCTTCTTTGTGTGAATCCTTTACTACATTACTTGAATCTTGTAGAAAGAGGCAGACTACAGTACAATCATCGTTCTTAGAAGTTGGATACTTGATTCTCCATGATCTAACAGCTGTGTCCACTAGTGCTCTAGCTGCTGTGCTTCGACTAGGAGCTGAAGCAACAACGTCTACAGCTTCCTTGTTCGATAACACATCCCATACCCCGTCGCTAGCAAGAATAATGAACTCATCTGCTTCTGTAAGGCGACGGTAGTTGATGTCAGGGACCGAGATAAGACCGTAATCTTTGAGACAGAAGTCACCAAAAGCTCGAGCCATTGCTAAACCAGGTGAGTTACTGTCTGGTAACCATACACGAGCTACCTCAGGCTCATCTTGCAATGCAAACACTCTACCTTTGCATTTTTGGATTCTCGCTGATTCACCTGAAAGAGAACGTTACTAAAAATGTATCTCTCACGTTTCAGATTTTATAAAGATGTAACATACTTGGTAGATCCGGTTTTAAGTCTATGGTTAGTTGAACAGCGACCAAAGCATTGTCTTGGTCTCTTGTGGCAAGAACGGCTCTAGAGTCACCAATGTTTCCGACCACCAAGTCCTCACCCTAAAAAAGGAATCATTAATGAGCAATCAAAGAGATGAGATTAGAAGCAAGAGTCTAAGCAAGTACCTACCTGCTTGATCAAAGTGACTGAAGTTGTTCCGCTGCAGAAACAATCAATAGTAGGATGCATTTTAAGCTCTTTATCTATCTGCTGACAAGACTTGAGCAACGCTTGCTTAAGAGGCAGATACATCTCGGGAAGTTGTTCACCGTTTGGATTTAACTCACACCAATGCTCATCCATAGTCGTAACAGCTTCTTCTTCCTCTGTACATTTGATCTGAACACCCTTTTCATCCACTAAGCCGCTTTGTTCTGACTCTGATGCTAATTTCAACTGTGTTGAGAGTTTGGAGGGCAATGTATCTCGGACTTTCTTGGCGACCATATGACCAAATGGTCCGTGTCCATCGAATACACCACAAAACACAGTATCATCTCTCGAACAAAAGTTCTGCCATTTGGAAGTAGTCTTCATAAGTTTTATGATTGTCTTAGTAAACACTAAAAGAAGTAAGAAGATATAGAAAAAAAAAACTAGTGGTCCCTGCACAACTATGTGGAAACAGGTCAAGGACTCAAGAGACAGCACAAGAAGAACACAAAGACACCTCATTTTCAAAGCTCTAAACTCTGTGATGGTCCCAAAAAAAAAAAAGACATGCAACATTCCAAGTTTCTCTCACTTACTAAAGCACTAGCAACAAAAGAACAATGCAAACTATGTCCTGAATATCCATTTGATCTTGCAACAAGTAGCTTTCCTCAAACATTGCGTTAACTTAGTGAGAAAGATCAAAACTTTGGAGAGAATGTGAAGGAAACAAACCTCAAAAACGAGCATAGCGTCTTGATTGGTTCCTTTCTTGCCTTGTTGTGTGTAAAGACATGCACTTTTACTTGAACCATTCGAGATCAACCGATCCAAAACCTGTTGAGTCCCTTCGCCGCCGCCCTTGTAGCCTCTCGGCCGCCGCCACCGTCCGGAGCCTAGTGTATCATCCGCCGTCTCCGTTGCGGTGGTGCTTGTTTCTCCTGGTTCCTTCCTATCTACTGAATGACACAAACCCATTTTGAAAATCCCAAAAGTAAAGCTCGAAGCTTTGATAAACCAAACCCAGACTTGGCCTCAACTACTTTAGCTTTAAGCTTTATCTTTAAAAAAAAAAAAAAAAAAAAAAAAAAGAGTTAGGATTCCTTTGAACACAGTGAAGCCAATACTAGCAGAGCCCAACGTTTTACTTACTCCACTTTCCAATTACGAGAGATGGAAGTAGTTATGCTACAAAGAAAGAAACAATTGAGACAGAGAGAGAGTGAGGGAGACGAATGATCAGATTCAGACAAAGGTCCATAGTTCGGTCCCGCACGTGACCTCTTTTCTTTTCCTTTTTTTTTCTTTTTTTGAAAACTTGGCTCTTGGTTGCATCATAACCTCCAGCACCAGCAATTTACCCAATTAGGCGTTGCCACGTGTTGAAAACTAGGGTGTTTTCAGTCTTCTGGCTGCGTGTAATGTTTAGAATTTGAATTCATATTAATTTATTATTCTGGCTCCACTAATTAATACAGTACTTAGTTAAGCATTTAACTAGTAATCAGTCATAATGTCCCTTTCTGCCTTCAATCTAAATTCTGAAGCCAGCAAAATTTTATAAAAATGTTTTTTAGTCAAAAACTATTATCACATATCTGAAAACAATGTCTAGTTTAATTACGTTGCTAAAGGTATTAATCTGGATTTTAGTTTGGTTTATGTTTGAAATTTTGATTTTCAAATATTTTTAAGAGCTTAAATAAAACATCAGAGAATATCAAATTACTATTGAGTTAACTAGGTTTTCAATTATGTATGAGTTAGAATCGTCTTCCAGTTTATGTATCACCTCTCCTTCATAAATATACAGGCTATACATACTCTAAGAACATCACAACATAAATTAATATGTAAACACTGGAGCATTAAAAAAAGAAGCAATTATGACTGAAAATATAATTCACGGATTGTGTGTTGGCCTATGCGACACCGAAGACAAGTCTTAGTTGTCCCATTGAGCTGGTGAGAGAGAGAGATGCATTCAGTTACACGCATCTAAGGGTGGGCACGGATCGGATATCCAGGTTTTTTAAGGTATTTGTGATTTGCTTCGAATGTTACAGATATCTAATTTTGGTATTTGCTTTGCTTCGAAAAAATACGGATATCCGGAAAAACGGATATCCAGAAAATAAATAGATATTTGTGGATGTTTACGAATATTTACGGATATCTCATCCATTTTAATTAGTACAAATAATCTTAAGATTTTGATACAAATTTACTTTGCAAAAATATTTTTTTGCATGATATATAAAATAAAACTTAAAAGAACTAGTGAACTTATAGATTTTGTAATTTTTTATAGTTTAAGTTACAATTATAATAACACAAAATTTAAGAAAAAAATATAATTGTCAAAAATATTTTATCTCTTTTTATGTTATACTTTTATATAAGTAATAATTTGAATAGAATTGTTCAAAATCATGTGCTAAAATAATAATTATATAAATTTATAAAATTAAAATTTTAAATTAAATCAAAATATACATATATTTATATATTTACGGATCGGATCGGATATCCGCTTTCCAAAATTTTAATATTTGTGATTTGCTTCGATTTTAACGGATATTGAATTTTAGTATTTGCTTTGATTCGAAAGTTTACGGATATCCGGAATTTTCGGATCGAATCGAAATGAATAACGAATCGAATCAAATATAACGGATAAAATGCCCAGCCCTACACGCATCCAACATATTACATTCATTTATCATCAAACTCCTAAATCTATTTCATCATAAAAAGAAGATGCTTTCAATATGTATCAAACTATCAATCAAAATTACACATATCATTATGTAACCATGGTTCTAGATATAGCTACCATGGTACATTAAATACATATTCCTTAAACAAACCTAAAACTGACTTAAAAATAACACAAAAGTGATAGTAGGGAGTGATGTACTTAAGAATTTAATTAGAAAACATCTGCAAGCAAACCTTGCCTTCGTTAGACGTACTGTTATCACAAAACTAAACAACATTTTGGTACACCATTGCAGTCTTGCCAGATTCCATCATGACCATGTTCGTTGAGGAACCAGTGGTTCAACACCTAACGTAGGCAATGAATCAAAGAGAGATGCCGGAGCAGTCATGTCTATGCTCCAAGAATCATCTATGTTCATTTCCATTGGCATTTCTTCTTCTTCGTCCTCTTCGATGGTTACCTCTAAATCTTCAAGTGATGAACGGATCTTCTCAAGCTCACCATAAACCTCTCTCATATTTCATATTTGGCCTCTTCCTCCCTTTTAGGCTTAAACACCTTCTAGCAATTTTTGCCATAGCCAAGACTTGTTCCGGCTTACAGTCTTCTTTGATCCGAGAATCAACAATATCAAGAACTCTATTCTCTTTCATGGCCTCATTGAAATGAGATGCAAGCCCTCTGTTTTCGTCAAGCCGCACAACTGAATACGGCTTTTCTCCAGTTATAAGCTCAACCAAGACAATCCCAAAACTATAAACATCACTTTTATCTGTGAACTGGCTAGTTTGAAAATACTCTGGATCCAAGTATCCAAAAGTACCTGCAACATGGGTTGTCAAGTGTGTCTGATCTATGCTTATAGATCTCGAAGTACCAAAATCCGACACCTTGGCTCTATACTTGTCATCCAAGAGTATGTTTGTGGTCTTGACATCTCTGTGATAGACCGGTGTAGATGCAGCAGAGTGCAAGTAAGCAAGTGCTCCTGCAATCTCCACAGCTATCCCAAAACGCACTTCCCAAGTCATGGTGTAATCGTCTGAATCATTGTGTAGCCGCTTGAATAGGTCTCCGTTGGGAATATGCTCATAAACCAATATAGGAACTTCTGTCTCGAGACAACACCCCATGAGTTTCACGATGTTTCTATGGTTAATCTGCGAGAGAACACGAACCTCATTGATGAACTCCTCGACTTTGTCTTCATCCAAAACTTTAGATCTTTTCACAGCGACGATTCGTCCATCTACCAACATTCCTTTGTAGACAGTGCCTTGACCTCCTTGTCCAAGAACCCTGTTCTTATTGAAGTTATCGGTAGCTTTCTCAAGCTCTTTCGAGCTGAATATTTTTGAAGTCGTCTCCACATTACTTCCTTCTTCTGTAGATAGTTGTTGTTTCAACAATAAACCACCATTACGTTTAAAGAAGTCCCTCTTTCGGATAATCTTCCTTCTCTTCTTGATGAACTTGATCAATCCCCATACCCCAAGAACAAAGAACAAGAGTGCCAAACCTATAACAAGACCTACACAGTGATAAAAACAAAAACAGAAGGACCCTTCCTTATTGATTTGTAATATGAAGTACCAATCTGAATATAGAAAAAAACTCCATTGATTACCTAGAATCACAGGACTGATTTTGTCTGTTTTCTTTGGCTCGCACCTAAACGATCCAGGGATATTTTTACAAGTTTCCTCTGTTCCACAATTGGTTACTTGTATTCCTTTCTTACACTCATCAATGTCTTAATAAACAATTAAAAAAAAAAGAAGAGGATCAGAATCAACTCAACAGATCCATGATTAAATAAAGAGTAAACCTGGCTCATTGAGGACGCCAATAATTAAGTTGAAGAGATCTTACCTCTACATCCACCAGGAAGAGAAGTAACCAAACTGGCAGACACAGCTATTGTTCACGCCATAATTACTAGTTTCACGTACACAACTCCCTGGATTCGGAACTGATGCATCATAGTACCATCCAAGCTCAATCACAGAGAACCCATTATTAGAAATTTGCTCCGGCTCGTAAATATTCACAATAGAGTTAATATCGTTAGTCCAACTTTACAGTTGCCTGATCTTTGAGTTGTGTTACCACCACCACCTCCACCACCGGAGGAGCTTTCTAAGTCAACACCCATCACTTGTGGTCTAAACTCATCGTCTGACAACAACTGTAATTACCGCACATCCGACGACTAGGTTACTCTTGTTCTTGGCGCAGCTGATCAATTCGCATCCTATGATCTGAGGTTCGACGTGGGTAACAAATGCTTTGGTGTCGCAACCTACTGCGCCGAGAGAGACTATTCCTCTGGGAGATGAAAAAAGGGGCTTCCGTTACCGGTGAGGTTTAAAGGATGAGACTTTTCATCTCCTTTAGAACAGCCGGAGGTAGTCACCGGATACTTTATCTCAACGACGCTGTCTTTGTCGATGTTGTTTCCAAGAGTGATGTACACCAACTCTCTGTTGATCTTAGACAGGAACACGGAACTTGACGCTTGCCGCCCGAGACGGAGGTTGTGTTACAGACAACCTCGTACCAGTCGCTGCGATAACAGTGTTTCGGACCCATACCCGAACGGGTAAGGAATCGGGATTCCTCCACAGGTACGTTTACATGAACTTGAAGTAGGGTCAAGGCGGCTTTGAGCTGCTGTTGTTGTTAACAAACAAGGGCCACTGAAGATGAACAGAGTTAGGGCATCTCCAACCCAACTCCATTTTTTACTCTAAAATGGAGTAAAAGGGAATATGGAGTAGAAAACACTCCAACCCTACTCCATATTCTACTCCATAATAGAGTTTACTCCATAAATGGAGTAATCTGTTTTTTGTTTGTTCATCACTCCATTATGGAGTGGAAAATGGAGTGGGGTTGGAGCATTTTTACTCCNCATCTCCAACCCAACTCCATTTTTTACTCTAAAATGGAGTAAAAGGGAATATGGAGTAGAAAACACTCCAACCCTACTCCATATTCTACTCCATAATAGAGTTTACTCCATAAATGGAGTAATCTGTTTTTTGTTTGTTCATCACTCCATTATGGAGTGGAAAATGGAGTGGGGTTGGAGCATTTTTACTCCATATTCTCTTTTACTCCATTTTGGAGGAAAAAATGGAGTTTTACATTGGAGATGCTCTTAGGAGAATCCAAAAGTAAAGTCTCTCGCTCTTCATTTTTTCTGCTTCTTTCTTTTGATTACTATGTTTTTTCCTGCTTTCCTTATGTCTGTCTGTTTTCTGCCTAAATACAGTACTGTGTGAGAGTTGGCAACTATCAGTGTTAAACGCTCTATAGATCACACTGCCAAGTAATTAAAAAAAATTGGTCAACGGTCGTCGGAGAACCCATGTGCAAGGTTAGGTAAACTCATCAAATAATTAATATACGACACATGTTTAATAGATTATGAAATTATTTGTTTTTATGTAATGGGACGACGAGTAGAGTCTATGGATACTAGGAAACGAGATCCGTGATTACACATTCAGAAGCATTCATTAAATAATACATTCTTACACAGAGACACCAGTCGTAAAAGCAAATGCATCATTATTAAAGTTCCTACCGTGTTAGGTGGAAATTCCTACTAGTTACCGTGTTTTTACCAAAGTTTTTATTAATTAGTAAATGTTAATGCTATCAAAAGGCACATATAATACCTTTTTTGATTTTCTAAGCAACACACAGAGAGATGAAGAAACTACTAATAAAAGCTAAATCTCTGAACCAGAGATTTTGATAAAACAGTTCATACAGAGCTAAATGGCTTTAACAATTGATAAGTTTTTCTTAGATCAAATGATAAAAACAGAGGATATCCAAACAAGAAACAGAGAGGAGGGGAGGAGGGAGAGAGAACCTGATCATTTTCTTGACTCGCACGCGATCTTGATGGAAAAAAATGTACTCATGGGCTCACGTATTATTTTATAAACCGTCAATACTAATTGGGCTTTGGCCCATTAATCTTCTTCGCATCGACTCGACCACAGTACCACACACATCGTGCCGTTTAGGCGACTCGGAACAAAAACCAAAATTGAAATAAGACTTTAATTTTTTCCCAGTCTATCACTGTTGCTCTGGCGATTTAGATCTTGGCGATTAGGGTTCGTACTTAATCTCTAAACTAGGTGTTGGGGTTTAGGGTTCGTTTCTTAAGCTTAGAATCTCAATCAATCTATGGGTAGGCACGATAGTTCCTCCGAGGAAGAGGAGAGAGTAAGAAAGAACGATAGAAGAAGAGATGACAAGCGTCGGGTTAGGGTTTCTGATGATGACGATCATAAGAACTCGCGAAGAGATCTCCAGATTGGTCGTGTCTCAGATGGCTCTTCAGATGAGGAATTAGCTAGGAAGAATCGAAGAGATGTAGACTCTGGTTCTGAGGATGATAAAGGAAGAGATAGAGGGAAAAGAATAGATACTGGTCGTGAAAAGGATAGAGTTAGAGCAGATACTTCTTCTGATGAAGAAGAAGATGAGAAGCATCTTTCAAAGGGTACTGAAGATGGAAGAAAGACACGTAGAGGTTTGGAAGATGAAAAGGAGAGAGAAGAGGTTGAGGATGATTACGAAAGGAGAGGAAGGAAGAGAAGCCCTAAAGGCAGGGAGAAGCATGATAAAGAGAGGAGTCATACTCATAGGGGTAGTAGAGTCTTAGCTGATAAGCCTTCTGATGACAGGCACAAGAGCAGGAGAGGTGGGCGAGAAAGCGAGAGGAAAGATAGAGATCATCAAGCATCTGAGGATGATGAGGAAGGTGAGATTAGGAACGGGAGAGAGAGGGCTGATAGAGGAGGTAATGAAGGTTTCTTGAAGAGGGATCGGTGGGAGAGAAAGTGGGCTGATGGGCATGGGAGGGATGTTGAAAGGAAAGAGATCCATCGGAGGGACGATAGACGTAGAGATGAAAGGGATAGGTATGATGATAGTCAAAGAGACAAGTTGAGAAAGGAAGAGAAGAGTGAGGTTGCAAAGCCCAAGTTACCAGAACTCAATCCATCTGGTAGCAATGCTATTGCTTTAGGAAAAACTGGTGGAGTTTATATTCCTCCGTTCAAGCTAGCACGCATGATGAAGGAGGTGGAAGACAAGAGCAGTGTAGAGTATCAGCGTCTTACATGGGACGCTCTCCGTAAAAGTATTAACGGGCTGGTGAATAAAGTCAATGTAAGCAACATCAAGAACATAATCCCTGAACTGTTTGCTGAGAATCTCATCAGAGGAAGGGGACTTTTCTGCCGTTCCTGTATGAAGTCTCAAATGGCATCTCCTGGATTCACTGATGTATTTGCAGCTTTAGTCGCTGTTATCAACGCCAAGTTCCCGGAAGTTGCTGAGCTTCTATTGAAAAGGGTCGTTTTGCAGCTTAAGAGAGCTTATAAGCGTAACGACAAGGTATGTCTTTTTCTTGTTTTCTCAGTCTGTAAGTCTTCTCAAGCGTTTTGATTTATATATGTATTATTAATGCATTTGCGTATTCCGTTTTTGTTTTGCCAGCCTCAATTGCTCGCTGCCGTAAAATTTATAGCTCATCTAGTAAACCAGCAAGTCGCTGAGGAAATCATTGCACTTGAATTAGTCACTATACTTCTTGAAAACCTGAGTGATGACAGCGTCGAGGTGGCTGTTGGATTCGTTACAGAGTGTGGTGCGATGCTCCAGGACGTTTCACCAAAAGGATTACATGGTAAACATTGATAAACATTAGACTGCTTGTATTTCCACATAATCCATCAAATTATTACACAAGTCAATAATTATTGACATATGCTGCTATGATAATAATTTAGCTATCTCTTGTTGAAAGATAACGTTAAAATATGGATCTCAGCGATTCACTTCACGCATTAAGTCATGTTTTCATGGCATGAACGTTCTATTTTTGCAACAGGTCTTTCTTTTATTTTTGTTTCTAAGCTCTTCTTATTGTTAACACAGGAATCTTTGAGCGGTTTCGTGGTATTCTTCACGAGGGAGAGATAGATAAGAGAGTCCAGTATTTGATTGAAGGGCTCTTTGCTATTAGGAAAGCGAAATTTCAGGTAAATTTATTCAACAAGGGAGAGATAGAACTTGATTGAATTTCATACTGAGATTTTGGGTAGTTGCAGAGTTGATACCATGCTTTGTTATCTTGCTCATAAAATTGTGCGACTGATTTACTTTCAGGGACATCCTGCTGTTCGTCCTGAGCTGGATCTTGTGGAAGAAAAATATTCGCATGATATTTCTATTGATGACAAAATAGATCCTGAAACCTCTCTTGGTAAGCTTATTATTTAAAGTCTAACCCATGGTTCTATAGAGTATAGAGATAGGCTACTTTTAGTATTAGTAAAGCAGCTCTTAACTTTAAAATTCTCTCTGATTTTTCTGTTTGCAGATGTTTTCAAACCTGATCCTGATTTCATTGAGAACGAAAAGAAGTATGAGGCGCTGAAGAAAGAATTACTCGGTGAGGATGAGTCTGACGATGAAGATGGCTCTGATGCTAGTTCAGATGATGATGAGGAGGGAGATGAGTCTGATGATGAAGAAGATGAAGAACAAATGAGAATAAGAGACGAGACAGAGACTAATCTTGTCAATCTTAGGAGGACAATATACCTGACCATAATGTCTAGCGTTGATTTTGAGGAAGCAGGTCACAAGTTACTTAAAATTAAACTGGAACCAGGTCAAGAGGTAACTCCTTCCGTACTCTGACTATCTATATATTCCACTGCTATTTTTACCTTCATGTTTGATGAATATTCGAGTGTCTTAAAGTTTTGTGATTTGTTGGAAGTACACAAGGCTTATAACATTCTTATACAATCCAATGTTGCAGATGGAACTCTGCATAATGCTCCTGGAATGTTGCTCTCAGGAGAGAACATATCTGCGCTACTATGGTCTATTGGGTCAGCGCTTCTGTATGATCAACAAAATTCATCAAGAGAATTTTGAGAAATGTTTTGTTCAGCAGTACTCCATGATCCACCGACTTGAGACGAACAAGCTGCGTAACGTGGCCAAGTTTTTCGCCCATTTACTGGGCACAGATGCTCTCCCCTGGCATGTGCTTGCCTACATTCGGCTAACTGAGGAGGACACAACTTCGTCGTCCCGTATCTTCATTAAGATCCTTTTTCAGGTAACTTGAATTCCATGGAACACATATTACTATTTCAAGCTGTTTGTCTTATTGGTTCGATTATAGTTGGGTCATGTGATTGAATAATTCTTTGTTTCATATGATTAAGTAGTCATCATTGTGTTGATTTGGTTACTATCTTTTGTAATGATTGCAGGAATTGTCAGAACATTTGGGGATTAAGCTGCTTAATGAGAGGCTTCAGGATCCAACAATGCAGGAGTCACTTGAATCCATATTCCCTAAAGACAATCCAAAGAACACAAGGTTTGCAATCAATTTTTTTACCTCCATTGGTCTTGGAGGCATCACAGAGAATCTGAGAGAGTACCTGAAGAACATGCCACGCCTCATCATGCAACAGCAGAAGCAAGTTGCGGAATCAGAATCAGGATCATCCGACAGTTCTGGTTCCGAGTCTGATTCTGAGTCAGATTCATCGTCCTCTTCTTCTAGTTCGGATGAAAGCGACAGAGAGAAGAGGAAGCGAAGAAGAAGATCTTGAGAAGGGTGGTGTGTTTGTCAATTTCAACCAAAAATCTTCAAGTTCTTGCGTTGGTTATTCAACTTGAATTTACTCAAATGATCAGTCATGTGGTTCTGTTATTGCATAAGTCTGCTGAACAAGAGACTAGACTTAGCTAAGACGGTCAAGGCTGTGAAGAGAAATGTTTTCTTCTTTGTTACTTTGATTGTCTTCAAGTTAAAATACCCCTTTTTCAGTAAAATTTGATCTTTGTTTTGTAGATAAGATGAATACAGCATATGAAATGAAAGTAACATACAATCAATCGTCTGCATAATCAACTTCTCAATAACTTGTCACTTAAGTTATGTATTAAATGTACTAATATCAATTGAATTAAATCGCAAAAGAGAGTGTGATCCACACAAATATATGAAATTTGTGTTGCGTGTATTGAAGAGAATCATGAGATATTTTGAATCATGAAAAGTATCAAATTGCGAAAGAATCTTTCTTTGTATTTTTGTTCTTCAAATTATTCTGGATAAGAACGCAAAAATATCAGTCTTTTAATATCTTAAAAAAACGTCAGTATTTTCATCTTGAAAAAAAGAACAAACGAATGTAGTACACATCTCAAAGTCACAGACTAAAACACAAAAAAAAAACTAAACTGATCTTACTTTTTTAAACTAAAATTGATCTTACTTGCATCTTAAAATACACCAAACTTATAAAATTAAATAATAACATAATAGTAACAAAAAAGTAGGAATAGATAAGACTATAAAAATAGTAAATTGCACTTGGAAATGGATAAGGGACACGTACGTAGAGATGAGAAAAGAGACCAAGTCACCGTTCCTCTCTTTTTATTTGTATATATAAATCCCCCGCCTCTCTCTCTCGCCCTATCCAATCCAATTATTGAACCTCTCCATTATACTTTTAATCTCAAAAAGATTCTTTCTTTCTGTAAAATCATATTTACTCTTCCTTGTGTTTGAAAACATGACTATTGCTTTAACCATCGGAGGAAACGTGTTCTCAGGTCTATCCGGATCAAAGAACAACAAAAGAAAGATGCTGAACAGAACAAGAGTCGTTTGTTCTTCATCTTCTATGATGGATCCCTACAAAACACTTAGGATCCGACCCGATTCATCTGAATACGAGGTCAAGCAAGCTTTCAGACAACTCGCCAAAAAGGTTTGACCCTTTTCATTGATTTGGTTATCTTGGTTTCACAAAGTTGACATCTTCTTGTTGTTGTTGCAGTATCATCCTGATGTGTGTAGAGGAAGCAACTGTGGGGTACAGTTTCAGACAATCAACGAAGCTTACGATGTAAGAGAGCTGTGTGTTTTACCAAAACATCTAAACTTTTGTTGTTTGAATATGAAAATTAATCTCTTTTTTTTGTCCTTTTTTGAAGATTGTGTTGAAGCAAATAAAGAATCAGATGGAGGGAACAGAGGAGTTTCAGCCATTCGATGTCTACGACGACGGGTTCAACGGAATGAATGATCCAGATTGTGACACGTGGGAGGAATGGATGGGGTGGGAAGGTGCAGGAACCAGAGACTACTCTTCTCACGTGAATCCTTACGCTTTTGAAGCTTGAAGAAGAAGAAGGAATGATTCGAAATGCACATAAAATAACATCCGAGACTGATGTGTAAATAGGTCTCGTGAATGGTAACTTAGAACATGTAAATAAAAAGTGATTTCTCCAATCACTCTTTAAAGCTTAATCTGCAAATAATAATACCACTATTAGACTTCTAATTTTTTTTCTAACTTTTAGCACTGTCAAGGGTCAAGTTCTATGCTTTCTGTTATATGATTCAAATGTTAGACCAAATCATCATTCTTTTTAACTGCTTCTTTATACAAAATCTCAACAACTCCAAACAAACAAAAAAAAGTCAATTTTGATTTTCTTTTAGCAATTTCTTCAAAAATATTGCGAAATCTCTAACAAAATTGCACGTCGTCATCTCAATCTAAACATTTTCCATATTAATTACTCTTAGTCTTATCCTAATTAAATTAAATGAACAACAATAATTACCTACCGAACTTTCCGAGTAGTTAGGTAGGTATTAATGGAAGTCAAGTGTTAAACCGGTAAATTTGAGTCTAAACCAAAGTAAATTAGTTAAGAATCGGTTATTAAACCTCTCAAGGGCTAAAGGTGCTTACTTTCTTTTTGTCTTGCTTCTTCCGCATTCACTCAATCAGATTAGTTAAGAATCCAATCCAACCAACCAAGTCACTTTCCGAAGCAATCCATCGATTCTAGTGTTAAGGGCTTTCTCGTCACGAGAATTTCGATACGTAAGTTTGAATTCTTCTGTCAAAATTGAGATCTTTTTGGTGATTTTTTCCTCTGTTTTATGGTTCCGACACGATCCATCTGATTCTTCTCGGTCCCAACACGATTACATGACTTGTCTTGTTGTGTATGATCTGTTTTCTATCGAAAGCTTCCATCTTTGATCAATCTTTGAGACTGTTTCTTCCTTTTCTTATTACAGTTGTGTCTAGAACAGAGTAAGAACACCGAGAGATCGGTCTTTAATTTCTTTAATTCGGAGGTTTGAATCTTCTACCTGTTATGTTTTATTGTTTGTTGTTATGTGGAAAGACGATCCTATTTAAAGAAAGTTCTATTCTTGTAATAAAAGTCCTTTCCTTTTTTATTCTAGCATCTGGAGAAGATTACCAACAATGTCTGATCTCAAAGAGCGTTTGCTCCCTCCAAGACCTGCTTCTGCTATAAACCTCAGAGGAGAAGCAGCGTCTCGCCCTTCTGCCTCAGGGAGACAACCTCTCCTCGGAGTTGATGTTTCAGGTCTCAAGAAGCGTGGACAAGGTCTCAAGTCATGGATTCGTGTTGACACTTTTGCTAATACACAGGTCATTGAAGTCGATAAGTTCTCAATGATGCGTAGATGCGACTTACCTGCACGTGATTTGCGCCTGCTTGATCCTTTGTTTGTGTATCCCTCTACTATCTTAGGGCGTGAGAGAGCTATTGTTGTTAACTTGGAGCAGATACGTTGTATTATTACTGCGGATGAGGTTTTGCTTTTGAACTCTCTTGATAACTATGTGCTTCGGTATGTGGTTGAGCTTCAGCAGAGACTAAAGGCAAGTGCTGTAGGTGAGGTTTGGAATCAGGACAGCAATGAACTCATCAGGAGGAGGAGTAATAGGAGTTTAGACAATGTGTTCCAAAACTCATCTCCTGATTATTTACCTTTTGAGTTTAGGGCTCTTGAGATTGCTTTGGAAGCTGCTTGTACCTTCCTTGATGCTCAGGCTTCAGAGTTGGAGATTGAGGCATACCCATTACTTGATGAGCTTACTTCAAAGATTAGTACTTTGAACTTGGAGCGTGTGCGTAGACTGAAGAGCAGGCTTGTGGCATTGACGAGAAGAGTTCAGAAGGTTAGGGATGAGATTGAACAGTTGATGGACGATGATGGGGACATGGCTGAGATGTATTTAACAGAGAAGAAGAAGAGAATGGAAGGTTCTTTGAATGGTGGTGATCATCACTCTTTACATGGCTACAGATCAAATGATGGTGTTTCTCTCTCTGCACCGGTGTCTCCTGTTTCGTCTCCTCCTGATTCAAGGAGACTTGAGAAAAGCTTGAGCATTGCAAGGAGCAGACATGACAGTGCAAGAAGCTCAGAAAGTGCTACAGATAATATAGAAGAGCTAGAGATGTTGCTTGAAGCATACTTTGTTGTTATTGACAGCACTCTCAACAAGCTAACCTCAGTAAGTGTATCTATTCACTATTAGATTTCAAGAAGCAGCTTGTTTAATCCTCTGCTTTTCTCTTTACTAACTCAGTTAAAGGAGTACATTGATGATACTGAAGACTTCATCAACATTCAATTGGTATGTATACCCTTTTAAATCTTGAACATACTTATACTTTTATTTTGCTTAGAATCTATGATATTTGCAGGATAATGTGAGGAATCAGCTGATACAGTTTGAGCTGCTGCTAACTACTGCGACATTTGTTGTAGCCATATTTGGAGTTGTAGCAGGAATCTTTGGGATGAATTTTGAGATAGATTTCTTTGAACAGCCTGGTGCTTTCAAATGGGTTTTGACCATTACAGGTGTGTGTGGTCTTCTTGTATTTTTGGCATTCCTCTGGTTCTACAAAAGTAGAAGGCTCATGCCACTGTGAGGACATAACTGCCCCATACAAGTAGGAGATTGCTACTACTGTTTAAGTTGCTTTTATTTAATCATCTGTGACCTTCACAAGATGGAAACAGTGTTTCTAGAGGAAATATTATGAGAATGAGAAAAGCTTTTACTTATTTGATACAGAAATGAAATGATACGTGTCTGAACTAAAACCACACTGGCTCAGACATTATTAAGTTTCTATGGACATAAAAAAAACGCAGAATCAATAATTCACAACATGTATCTAACTTGAGTCTGCAAAGGAGTACTTGTCAGAGGACGAAGGAGACGATGAGAGACGCTTTATCGGCCTTCTAGTGTTTAATCAGGAGTTTGATTTCTCCTACGAACCATCTTAAATGGGCTTTTATTTATGCCCATTAACATAACCTTTTTATTTACTTAAAAGCCCATTAACATATCCCCATCACCACTTTAATAATTTCATCTCCTCGTCTCACAAAAGACGCAGCGCGAAACAGAACAGGTTTTCAAATCCATTCCGAAACCTCCTCTCTCTCACTTCCGATGAGCTGTGCTGCGATTGCTAGGAGACTAACTCGTACGACACACCTGTTGATTGTTCAACGTCAGTATCTTCTTCTTCGTGGAGCTTCGAGATCGTTTTCCACCTCATATTTCCACATTGCTTCCTTCTCTTCAGCATTTAATCGAACACGTCGTGTGCATTCTCAAATCTCAATACATGTCCCACATTTTACCTATTCCAATGTCTTCTCCACTCAAGTCACCCACGAAACATTTGATATCAACAAAGAAGTGGTGGCTCCGTTGGAGAATGGTCTGATTGATTTAGTCAGACAAGTCTCTGAGCTAGAGTCAGAGGCTGATGCAATGGCTACTCTGGAAGAGTCATCTTTTGATCTAAAGAATGATTCTTTGTACTCTTTAATCTGGGAACTAAGAGATGAATGGAGGCTTGCCTTTCTAGCTTTCAAATGGGGAGAGAGAAGAGGCTGTGATGAACAGAAAGCTTGTGACTTGATGATATGGGTGTTGGGTAATCATCAAAAGTTCAACATAGCTTGGTGTCTGATCCGTGACATGTTTCATGTCTCAAAAGATACAAGAAAGGCCATGTTTCTTATGATGGACAGGTCAGAGTTTCTCTCCTCTTTATGTTATTTATTGTTGTGATATAGAAAGATATTGAATTGGTGTTTGATGTAGATATGCTGCTGCTAATGATACAAGCCAAGCTATTAGGACATTTGATATCATGGATAAGTTTAAGCACGTTCCTGATGATGAAGCGTTTCAAGGGTTGTTACATGCTTTGTGTAGACATGGGCACATTGAAAAAGCTGAGGAGTTTATGCTTGCAAGTAAAAAGCTCTTTCCTTTGGATGTTGAGGGATTCAACGTGATTCTTAATGGTTGGTGTAACGTTTGGACTGATGTGACTGAAGCGAAGAGGATTTGGCGAGAGATGGGGAATTACTGTATCACGCCTAACCAGGACAGTTACAGTCACATGATCTCTTGCTTTTCTAAAGTTGGAAACCTTTTTGATTCTCTTAGGCTTTTTGATGAAATGAAGAAACGAGGGTTTGTTCCCGGGGTTGAAGTTTATAATTCTTTGGTTTATGTGTTGACTCGTGAGAATTGCTTTGATGAAGCTGTTAAGCTTGTGGAGAAGATGAAGGAGGAAGGTTTAAAGCCAGATTCAGTTACTTACAATGCGATGATACGGCCTCTTTGTGAGAAGGGAAAGGTTGAAGAAGCCAGGGATGTGTTGGCAACCATGATAAGTGAGAAGCTAAGTCTTACAGTTGAAACATTTCATGCTTTCCTTGAAGCTGTAAATTTCGATCAAACTTTAGAGGTTTTAGAGCAAATGAAGACTTCTTGTTTGGGTCCTAAGGAAGACACCTTTCTTCTCATTCTTGGAAGATTGTTCAAGGAAAAGCAACCGGAGAATGCTTTGAAGATCTGGGCAGAGATGGATCGTTTTGATATTGCGGCTACTCCTGATCTTTACTTGGCCATAGTACAGGGCCTTTTGACATGTGGGTGGCTCGAGAAGGCCAGAGAGATATATTTAGATATGGAAGCAAAAGGATTCCCAAGTAATCCTAAGCTCCAGAAACTTCTTGAGGAGCAAAAGGGGAAGGGGGTCAGGAAAAGCAAGAGGAAAGATCTTCAAAAAGGTTCTCGAGGAGGCTATAGAGGTGAACGATCAGTATACAAAAATGAATCTGGTAGGGGTAAGACTTGACGATGTTGATCAAACGATCACTCAAGTAAAGCTGATTCTCAGACCTCGTGATCTCACAACTTCACAGAATTGTCATGCAAGCAATCTGTCCCTAGCTCATCTGTACATCTGGTTTTGTTGCTTTCACTACATCCCCCGTGCAGTTTTCCAGGTAATTTCTTCTCCCAATTACCATATTGTTGGTGATCAACCTTTGCTTAGCCTAATAATATCAATGAAACTGCAGGACTAAAACATTAGCAACTATGCTGTTTCAGGAACCCCTTTCCGGATTACATGACATACGGTAGAAACTATTTTGATGATTCTGGATTATTATTGGCTCACACGTCCACTCATCCTCCAAGTTCAAGTAAAGGAAATTTGAGTTTAACGTGTATGGTATGAACCAGACCACTCAATAGGCAAATGCTGAGCTCACTTTGTTTCGAAAAACTAGACCTTTAGGGTTCTCACTGTCCAGCTTGTCGTTTTCTGTGTTCTTTTACCTTATTTTGTTTATAACTCATCTATCTTTACTCATGAACCATGATGATTGATATGGCTTTGGATTCTTTTTAGTGTTGCAATTGTCATGCCACATTTCAAAGTACCATCATTTTCCTCCTTAAAGAAAACTTATGGGTCCCTTGATTTATGACTTGTTTACTTTAGTTGCAGCTGGCAAGCTTCTAGCAATCTATTGCTTAGTTGCTTTTTAAATTTTCTTGCTTGGTTATCATTGAGAGCATGCACTTTAAGGTTTTTAGGCATTTCAATACTGCAATTGAGAAATGTCTCAATACAGAACTGCAGTTGAACTATAGTTTGATATACACTCTTCTGCTTTTTGATGGAACTCGGTGGTGATAGTTTACAAACATTACAACATAATACAATTCTCAAAAGCTAAAACCCTCTTAAGTTACATTCAACAATTTCAGAAAGAAAACAATAACAATAAAAAATCAGATCAAACTTCGAACTACTACTCTGCAGTGCTCTGTTTTAACCTCTCCGCTTTGATCTATTGCCATGAATTTTTGCAGGAGGCGATGGAGAAAACTCAAAAGCAGTTGCTGAAATGTCCATTTCCCCTCTCAAGATCCTCACAACTTCACTAATATCAGGCCTTAACTCAGGTGCTTTCTGTAGACATGCCAAAGCCAAGTTAATGCACAGTCCTGCTTCTTCCTTGTTATACACATCCTTCAACCTCTCGTCCACAAGCTCAAGAACATTCCCTGACTGAGCCAATTGCCTACACCAGCTAACCAAATTGGCTTTCTCAAGCTTCATTGGCGATGCAAGGACATGCAAAGGCCTCCTACCTGAGATGATCACTAGAATCAGTACTCCAAAGCTGTAGATATCTCCTTTCTCCATCAAGTAACAGCAACCTCCTCCGTACTCTGGTGCTATGTAACACAATGTTCCTCTCATACTCGTAGTGCTGCTTAACTCTCGGCTGAACAAGTCTCCACTCCACATCTCACTTCCCGTTGATTTATTCTTCTTCTTGCTGCTGCTACTGCTTTTTCTTCTCCACCCTCTTCTGAAGCTGAACTCTCCTGCTGCTTCTCCTTCTCGGTCTTCCACGCTGTTCCCACCCTTACCATGAAAACAGTAACGAAAATGTGGGACTTTTAAACGGTTCTTGAGATTGATTCTCAACACTCTAATCTTCTTTTTGCTGTTCATCTCGTCTTGATGCTCTTCCTCTTTCCACCATTCCTCCATGTTCCTATGCTTCTTCTTCTTCTTTCTAGATTTCTTCTGTGTGCTCTCGTTGCTCTCTTCCTTTGCAAACTTCTCCTGAAGAGTGTCAAACAACCTAGATTCATTCAAACCAGACTCTACTTTATCTATTGTCCTAGTTGAAACTCCCAGCTCAGGAGTGCTAGTGATAATCTTCTTCTCATCATCCCACTCTGGATTCTCAGTGTGAATCTGACTCCCTATCCATTCCCTAACATAATCTTTACTACACAACTCACCACTCCCTTCTTGCTTCCACCACCAATCTCTCCCCCATTGTTTCCCCAAATCAAGAACCGAGTTAGGACTCAAATTCATCTCCTTCCCCTGCTCAAACTCATGATCCTCAACCTCTTTTCCTTTCGCTTCACCTTCCATAGCTAAGCTCAGATTCATTGCCTTAATGTTACGACTCGTTCTACTGTTCTTGGAAGAGGAAGAAGCTTGTAAAGCAAGAGAGAAATCAACCTCATGATTATGCGTTGGAGTAGCAACACCTGTCTGAGGATTGCTCTCAGAAAGCTCTTGACTCTTCCCCAAGTCTTGACTGAACAAATCAACCCCATAACCTCCTTCCTCAACTTTCACTCTAGACAAACCAAAATCAGAAATCTTTGCCCTAAACTCAGAATCAAGAAGAACATTACTTGGCTTAATATCTCCATGTATCACAGGTGGGTCACACCCAAAATGCATAAACTCAAGAGCTTTCGCTACGTCAAGAATGATACTAAACCTCCTCTCCCAGCTCAAACACGAGCCTTCTTCGTTGAAAAGAAGCTCTTGAAGACTCTTGTTAGGCATATACTCGTAAACCAAGAACCTGTGATGATCCTTCTCAACGCAGTATCCCAAAAGGGTCACAAGAAAAGACGATTTTAGCCCTCCTAGGATCTGTAACTCGTTCTGAAACTCAGTCTCGGATTGTAGAGAGAGGCTATCGAGTCTCTTGACAGCGAAGAGCTTCCCGTCTCTTGTAATGCCTCTGAAGACAGTCCCCGAGCCTCCTTTGCCGATCACGTTGGACTCGTCGAAGTCGTTGGTTGCTAGCTTGAGCTCTTTGTAAGAGAAAAGCTGGAGCTTTGATGGAGATGAGGCAACGTCGAAGAAAGGGATGGTTCTTGAGCGGTTGAGAAGAGAAGTCCAGAGGTGGTAGATGAAGTAGATGACTGCGAAGAAGATGACGAGTGATGATGAGATTGTGAGGATTAAGAAGAGAACTGATGTTCTGTTGTTGTTGAATGGCTTTGGTCGGAGGATTGAGTTTTGTCTTGAAGGCATGTCTTTCTCTCTGTTTCGAGATGGAATCGTTTCTGAACATTCGGTAAATCTATTGAATCTAGTCGTTGAAAATGTCTATAGACTCTGCTTTATTGTTATGTTTTTTTTTAAAATAAAATCTTATAATGAGAAAATCGAGGTTCAAACTGCGTGATAATTACTTTTAGGGGAAAAAAAGGGTTATAGTATAGTGGATGGATTTGACAAAAATTATAAGAAGACATAAAAAAAAAGTTGTGATTTGAAAAAAGGAAAGTTAGGAAATGATAATGTTGTTTTAAAATGATGATGTTACTTGCTTTTTGGTGTAGTGGATCATATAGTGATGTTTAAGATTGGACTTTTATTTGTTAATTTATATTCTTTTGTCCTAGTCATTTACTTGCTTGATTAGTTTGGAAGTACTGAAGAAAATGTAAATTGGATTTTTTTGGATAACTAAAGAGAAGAGATTAGTTAGTTTGTTAACGAGATTCAAGCAAAGAAGAAGAAAAAGTTGTTAACGAGTTGAGAGGCGAAGTGTTCAAGATCCGCTTTGACTGCTTTGGGAGCTATGCATACATTTATTGATTTTGTAATTTTGCCCCATATCTTTAATATATGCATATCCCACCCCCACTTTTGTAGCCTTGTCTCTAGTCTCTACCATGCATAAGAACGAGTGATCAACTTTGCTTTGATCACACTCACCGTTGCGAAAGACACTGTAGCTGTTTGGCAAAAAATGTGCACGAATCTTAAAGATTGCAAATGGATTTTGTGGGTTTACTACCAAGAGATTTCAATAGAAATTTATGTATATTATTATTTTGGTTTTGAATTATAAGTGTGGTAATATTTTGCTTTTGAATTAGCTTTTGCGTATAAGTTATTAGATCTATTATTGATAGAGAATAACTAATATGTCATGACAAATACAATGTTTAAGTTCATAAGAAAACAAAAAACTATATGGGATAGGATGTCCCATTCTTTTGTGGTATGATAAAGTCGTAAGTGGGTGTTTTGTAGGCCTACAGTGTCATGTGCACTCAGATTTTGAAAAAAAAAATCGTTATACAAGAAAAGAATAATGGTACAAAGAGAGTGAGTCAGGTCATGTATAAAAAGAATCTCCACTGACTTTTTTTGTTGTGTTGCGCTCTTACAATGTTCAATTTTCATAGAATAGTTGCTATCATTCATTCATATTGTTTCTTTTTAGATATTGGTGAAGAAGACAGTAGACATGAATCAGTCCTCTGCGTAATTCGATTGAGTCTCTTTTGCTTTTCCTGATCTTTAGCAGTTTAGCTTGTGACATTTTTGGTATTTGCTTGTTGTATATACATACTATAAAAGGATATTTATGTAACTATGTTACTATAAAGAGAAACCTGTATATACTCTACAATACAAGCTAGTAATTAAGCTAAGTACTTAGAATGTTCTATTCATACCAAAAACATCAGATCATATCTGATCATATGACATTCTCTGATCAAAATCTTGAGAAACATAAATGTAGAGTTTAGCTTCATTTTTCTGGTCAATAAATGTAGAGTTTAGCACACACAAAAAAAAAACATTTATGTATACATATGAACACAAAAACACTTGAATTGAAGTAACTGTGAGAATATAATGGGCCAAAGCTATTTAGGCCCATTTATAAACCCAATATCATTTGTCTGAACGAAACTCAGATTATGTCGGAGAAATGAGCAAAAAAACTCAAACGAGCAAGAAGAATCTGGAGAAAAAGGAAACTAGAACGTGATTCGAAATGGGGATAGTAGCAGCGATCGGAGTTTTATTGCCATTTCCGTTCTACTGGTGGCTATGGACGAATCCTCAGTCATGGGTCAATCTCTGCGGCCAAGGAAGAGACCCTTCAATGATGATGGCACGTGTGTCTCACGTCCTCAAGGCTGCTCAGCTCCTCTCTCTCTTCTCCGTCGCGTCTCTCTCCTGGCCTCCTCCTCTCTACTTCTGGCCCCTCATGGCCTTTGGCCAGTTTCTCAACTTCAGGTCCCAATCTCTTGTGTCTTGTCTCTGTCTCATATTTGTTGGATCGTAATGCGTAGATATTGATAGAAAGTATGAAACTTTAGTCCACCCATTGTTCGCATTTGTGTCTACTCTCTAGTGGGTTTGTGAAAGTTTGTGTCTTTTTCAAGTTTCAATCATCGTATGTCTAGTCTTGTCTGAACTGATTAGGTGAAGTTGCAGTGTGTTGTCTTAAAATAAAAAGGTGACATCTTTTGCAGGGTATATCAACTGCTAGGTGAAGCTGGAACATATTACGGTGTTAGATTCGGGAAGAACATACCTTGGGTTACAGAGTTCCCGTTTGGGGTCATCAGAGATCCACAGTATGTTGGGAGTGTTATGTCTCTATTGGCTTGTCTCTCTTGGGTTCCATTCCAATACATTCTCCTCTGGTGTCTCGGTTATGTTTTCATGATGTTTGTCGAGTCAAAGGAGGATCCAAGTGCTCGTGCCAAATCCATCTCTTGATTTCTTTGGCATAAACCATTAGTTAATAGAGTTTTAACTCCCATGAAAGTGATGTCTACATTTCTTGTTGTTTTGACTGTTTCTATTCTCAGCTTTGTACCCAAATTGATTTTTTAGTACCACGGATAATGCAGTTAGACTTTATACATTTTGTTAAATCAGAACATTATTGGAAATGCTGTGATTAATTAAACAGAAGTACAAAATATGTAACAAAACATAAACCATTAGCCAGAAGACTAATAAGAAGTTACCACAAAAAAGATAATAGTTGAGATTGGATCATTTGATAAGTACATTTTAAACGTTATCAACCAAAAGCCTACTCAGAGCCAAGTCCCTGTCTACTCGTTCATGCAAACAGCTGGTCTCACAAATGACCATCTCACTAGCTGCTTCAGACACCAAGTATGCATGTCCAAGAAAGAGAGAATAGTTTAACACTGTGCTGCTTAGTTTGTTATTATGATGTTATGTGTTTGCATTTGTGTAGATGTTTTTGTTGTCAAACTAGGTATTGGAGATTGCATGAAAAGGATTACATCATTACATGTTACATTTTCAGTATGGGAAGGGAATATAATCTACTGTCTCTCTCTCTCATATGCCAAGTTCAGTCTAAAAACACTAACAAAATTTGAAACTAAGCTACTTGTCGTTTTGATTCTGTTGGTACAATCTACCGGTAACAGCTGCTGCTAATGCTGCTGTGAACTTAGGATCTTTTGTCAAGGAAGAAGCCATTTGCTCTACCAAAAGTTTCTGAACTTCTGGAAAATCTATTCTTGATGGGCTCGTTACTTTCTTTGACTCAGTCAGATCAATGGTAGTCACAGGCTCAGCTAAGCTCTTACTTATGTTGGCAGCAGCAGCTTGACCACCAAGAGAACGGTTTAGGCCACTGTTTGAATCAATTTGTGACGGCATTGGATGGTTATGTTCACCCTCATAAGTTGCTACCAACACAGACTGATCCTCCACACTTCTTTGAACCTAAAGACAACCAGAATCAGATTAATATGCTTAAGAAGTTAATTCTCTTGATAATTTTCTTTCTTAATCTTTGATTAGTAGTACCTTCTTTTTGACAGAACAGCTTGGAGCACAAGCACATTTGAAGTAAGCTCTTGGAGATGGATTGTCTCTTGTCACTTTCTGTCCATATTTCCTCCATTGATACCCATCTTTCACTACCTATATTAGCAACACAACTTAAAATCAATAAACTATATATAAATTTTGAAGTTTCTAAATATAGACATCATTCATGAAAAGGCTTACAAGGGTAGTGTCAGATGCTTCGGTCTTGTAATAAACCCTTGAAACTTTCTCCTTCACAACAGTCTCTTCTCTTTGCTTCTTACATATATACTGATCATCTTGATCCGTAGAGCTACTTTCCGACACTCCACCGACCACAGCCGAGCTAACTGCGTCATCTCTCGCTGGAGATTTGCGTTTCTTGGGAGGACTTACATGGTCTCTCTCGGCTATGTTCTTCTTGTTAACATATTCCATCAGCTGTTTCCTCAAAACGTTGTACTTGTCAGACATCAGAGTTAGCATCTCTGAGAGCTTCTTGTTCTCAGCATTCATTCGGTTTAATTCATCCACCAAAGCAGTTGTCTGCAGTTAATCATTTATATATATTGCATGAAGTTAGTAACCGGAATCCAGATGTATTAACATATTATAAGACCTAGAGTTTTCTGTTACAATCAAATATCAAGAACTCAACATATAGATCAGTAGCTCCCATTTTTTGGGTTAAAATACTATCAAGTTTTTTCAAGTTTATCTCTAAATATAAAGTATATCCAAAACTCTCTGTGTGTATACATATATAATATATGTGCGTATGTAAAGATATTTACATATGCAAATCTGTAGAGAGTTGCAAATTTCTATACATATTTTTGGTAAAATGAAAACAAATATATACACATGTGTTCATAAAAAATGAAGTACTGATGTAAGTGAAACTTTTTTTTGTAGATGTTAAGTATCAACAATACAAGAGAAGCATACCGTGGAATCTTCTTCAACTCGGATACGAGTTATACCGATAGTGAGATCTAAAGAAGTATCAACCAAAGAGGATGAGTACTGGTCCATAGATGTTAAGATATGTACGATGAATCTTCTTGATTCTTGAGTGTAAGCTTAGAAAGAGCGTTAAGAGATTCGTAGTATGAGTTCGATCTTATTGACTGCTTCTTTTTTCTCTTCTGGGATTTGTGGAAGAAGGAATGGTTTTTGATTCTATATAAAGGGAAGTAGAGGAAACAAGGTGGAAAGAGAGAGCAACATGTGCTCTTTTCATTTTCATGCAATAAACTAATTAATGGTCTTATCAATATTCCTTTTACTTTTAGTCTCTAGACTCTCTCGACTCGTCTTGTTAGTTGAGGGTCCACACTAGCACACGTATTTGGTGATTTGGTCCAATCCTTATTACCACCATTTGTTTAATATCTATGTTCTTGATTTTTATTTTGTATAGAAGTTTGACGACATTCTTTTTATCTAACAAACATATTGTATATGATTGGTTCTGCTGTCTACTAAATAGATTTATAAGATTATTCTCCACGTTTTTTTTTTGACAAAGGGTTGTATAAGATTATATCCACGTTTAGATGTTAGTTATTATTTGCTTACGTTTCATATACAACAATGTACAAACTGAAATTAACCCTCCCTAAAAATCAAATTAAAATTCTTACAGCTTCCACGTTTTACTATAGCCAGCCGTAATTGAAAATATAGTAGGGAAATTCGATTTCTAATCTCTAAGACCGGGTAGTAACTAGTTTTAAATTATTGAACCACCATATTTTATGAACTATAGACATTTTTCTCTGTCAACTGTATACACTGATCAAAACTATCTACATTTATACATTTCTAGAAGACAATGACTTAACGTTTTTATTGGTTAGCACTTCCTTGATTTTTTTTTTATTAATCTAGAGATATCACAGACTCATGAAAAGACTCAGATTAATCCCTAAAGAGAGGTGCAGTTCACATATAGACTTTTTTCCAAGTATTCAAATGAGCTCGACGTGAATTCATATCTGTGTTAGGTGACCAGGAATAATTGTGATTTAGTTTCGCATAACAAGTGGGTCAAAGCTGAAATATGTTAGTGTCTCAATCCCTCCTCTTTATCACTTGACCGCAATCACCCCGTTCACTTCCTTGATTTTTTTATAATAGTGGTAGTTTTGTAGTAGATTAGTAGATCTATAATCTTCTTTAGACCTCGTAATCAGTTATATTATGAGCTAAATATGCAAAGCAATCCACAACGAAAATGTAAAATTTTAAACTTTGATTTAATTAGATAAAATAAAAGAATAAAAGAAATAATAACCTCGTCTAGCGGTGAGGGAAACATACCTATGCTAACATAGTAACATGTTATTGACACAAAAATACATACTAACATGTGTTTTCTTCAACCTACAAAAACAATCAACAAATTTTCTTTAAAAAAAAAACTTAAAAGCGTGATTCAACACATGGGCTATATTATCTTTTTTTCTCATGTAATGGACCTAACCAAAACATTAGACAATAATTATAATGATTAATGTCTTTAAGGTAATTAAATTCATAAAGAAGAAAACATAAAGTAATGATTACGAGCGACATATGGGGTAAAGGAAATGGTAAATGGTTTATAATACTAATTGACTATGTAGTAAAGGCATGGTTAAATAGAAAGTTCTGATGTCTGTTTAACAATTAGTTGCTTGCGGTTGACGAACGATAATAATTTGAAGTATGTGTATCGTAATAGTATAATAGAGTGTGCGGAACGTGGGTTATATGTTTCTAATGCGAGTCACTATGAACAATTGGGAGGTTCTTCTTAGGTGTAGTAGTCATTAGTATTGTTATTTAATTAAGTAAACGTGTGTCTTTCTTCATTTGTTCGGTCAAAGTCAAGCCGACGCGGCTTTTCAAAAACAATTGGACAATTTGACGACGAACTTTATCAAATCTCAGTTTCCTTCTTCCTACGTTTTCATTTGCTTAAACCTCACGATTTAAGAATTATCAAATATAACATATTTAACCCGAAAACTGTATGAGTAAGACTAGAGATAACCAAAAACATATATTAACCCCAAGCATATCCACTATCTGAAACAGAATCTTGACTAAGCATTACAGTATATACATGCATGTATATTCTATAGTACTCCTTTATTCTTCTTCCTTCAATTTGTTTTTTCTTTGAACTTATTCTTCTCATTTTTTCCTTTCAAATCTCATTTCTGACTGATTTTCCCCACTTTTTAATATGTCATTTAACTATAGTTTTTGTTTTCCGACGTTACAATGTTCTATCTTTTTTTTTCTTTATCAAAAAAAATATTTTATCCTTTTTTTTGTCAAAAAAATTTACCAACTGTACATACTAGTACAGCTAATATCATCGGAAATATTTCTCTGGGAAGTTCCTAATTACGAACTACCATTGGCATATATTGATATATACATATATATATATATAAAACAGCCTGCAAAAAAAAAAATTCATTATCTAGGAAAATTTGAACCCAAGTAATCTATTAGAACTAGTCCCCCACAATATTCCTCTATGCACATTCAAACGATCCAGTGAAACAATAATTTCCTTCCTAATCAGTAGAACAGAACTATAAAGTATATATGTTCAGCTTGTTTTGTTTTAGAACTTAAATGAGCTCTTAATATATCCTGGTAGTCTTCAACCGTTAACATTATTACAAATTTAAAATCGCATAATAACTGTTAGGTTCCTAGCACTTGTTCAAACGGTTAAAACAAAAGAATTCCTATCTGTTAGTATCTCCAAGGAAGATTATCTCTGCTAATAGTTTCTATATACTAGTTAACACTCAACGAACAATTTGGACTTAAACCAGAATTGCTTTCTTGCAACGAAGAAAATTTCATGACATGAAATCATTCCGAACCACTTGTTAGCTAGATTCAGTGCACGTATGAATACACACAGTTAATCTATTTGTTTGGTCAAACACTATGCATGTTTGAGAATGGATTAGGATGTCCAAGAAAAAAATCTGGCCGACCAAAAAATAATCGAAATTGTATAGACAAAAATGTAAGTGTCGGTGATAAGATATTGGACGTCACTGGTGATGATGAAGTCATGAAAACAAAAATACAAGTGGACAAAAAAAATCAACCAAAAAGACAACTATTCTCGTTCAGACAGAACAGAACGGTACAGAAGCATCAAGGTTACAAAAGCACAATTCCTTTCTTGTGTTTCAAAGACTTTGACCAATGACTACGTTGACTCCGAATATCCTTACGCACGAGTGGTTTGGTTTAGTTCCATTCCTTCCCTGCATGTCTTCTTATTTTTCTTAACAAATCGCCATCCAAGTATATTTTGTAAATTGCATGATTTAAGGATAATACTGAGAAAACAAAAGGTATAAAATCCGTACATCTTATTAGACTAAAAAAGAGAGTATTTTATTGACATAACCAATATCATGGCGAACTTGAACTCATGACCGGATCTAAAATTTCAAAAGGAGACTACAAACATTTTTTAAGAATTTTCATAAATTTATTTTCATAAGTTAAGAACCTATATATATATATATATATATATATATATATATATATATATATATATATATATCCAAAAAAAAAATTGGAGGCAGACACCAATGTTTTATATGTCTGTGTTCAGATCCGGCACTGTTTGCACTATGCATTATTTTCTTTTGGTTTGCAACATTTTTAAAAGAATCATATTATGATTAATTTAGTACCAGACAAATAATTAATATATAATTTTTAATTAAGTTGATGGTGACCTCTTTGATCCAAATATTTTAAAAAATCATTCGATGAAATGGAATTTCTAAAATTTTATCAGCGATATATTTTAAAAAATTATTGACAGTTTTTTTATTACTAAAGACTTATTTATCAAGAGTTACTATCTGTTTACTTTTTAAATGAAATTCTGAACCGAATAGTTCAATACTTCATTTTTTTTTCAAAAAGCATATATTTAATTAGACAATTTTACAAATTTATATTTACAAAATTAAAACTAAGAAGTAGCTTATCAAACAAAACAAAAATAAGTAGTTAAGCAGTAGGTTCACTCGAGGTGCATGAACTTGGCTAAAGGAAGACGGCCGTACAAGTCAAGGGTTCATGCACTAATAAAGGTCAACAACACGTGTTATCTATTTGGATATTATTACAATAGGATGTAGTTATGCAGTAGGTCCACTGCACTAGAGATTGTTTAATCCCTCTTGCCTTTTTGGAAATGGTCTTTTGGTTTTTGTTTTTAGTGTCTATGTTCACTTAATTTTATGACCAAGTATGAAAACCAAAGACTAATCCCAATTCTTTGATTCGACTCCTGCGCCTTGTTTTACTTTTCTTCTAAATCGCACGTCAAGGTTTTTGCCTAATTTAGTAGTTCCTTTTCGTACATTGGTAGATGAAAAAATCTGCATTATTTCCCCTTTTTCTAGTTGTGATATAGTATTTCATTAAACTATCTCTTACCATAGAAATTTAGAAAATTAATTACGTATTTACTGTAATTGGAACTAAATTACGTACTGTAAGTCTGTAACATTAATTTAAGGAGTGATTCTCCACATAATATACGTTGCTATCTAACTGGAAAATCGCGTTACAGTAAAACCAAGTCATACGTATCCACGTGCAGTCTTTAGCCACCACCAGAGCAACACTGGTCCCGTGAGTTACACGTTTCTCGTAGACATTTATTTTATAATTTAAATATTATAATTTCGAAGGTTCGTAAAGGCTTTACGATTCTTTTGTCATTTATCTGTTTTGTTTCATCGAAATAATATTATATTTTTCAACATCGTAGATGGCCCCCACCAAAACAAAAAGGACTTGTCCATGGATAATACCGGCTTTTATCGATTCAAGTATTCTCCCGATGACAAATTCGTTTTAAGAGTCGTATAGGCCCTTCAGTACACGCACGTGTTTCTTGATAAGATAAACTAATGAAGTATTAATCGTAGTAACGTACTACTATTCTTTCTGCCAGTGATGTTGTAACTAAATTTTTATAAATAGATTATAATAGCATGTTGTTTTGAAACAGTTCAGTTCCAAAAAAAAAAAACAGTAGGCTGAAACTAAAACTGAAAAATAAAGAAAAATGTGAACCCATCTTATATAATTTACTTCTTAAAAAGACAAGCACTGTGGCATATAAAAATAATATATATCAGTTTGGTCGTCTTGAAATCACAGTTGTATTGAATTAATCGATTTTACCTTGGTTGGTTCTGTATATATACATCACTCTCCTCTCTACTTTTTGCCCTTTTCGCAACGAATGTTCATTATCTGCTTTGTAAAGCCCATATTATATTTTATTAGTTGTTTGAACCAAACCCATATATACTTTCTCACGTATCGCTAAGAGACCGAACTTTAAAAGTTATTAACTGAAAGCCCATATTTAACATCAACGCACTTACCCAAACCCAGCGGCCAGCCCCATATCTCATACCAGTCAAATATACATACATTAATACTTGCATATTGTCACGCTCGTTATATCGCTTGTACGATATATCTACGCCGGTAGATTCTCTAACTCTCTCTATATATTCAACTTTCAATATATAAGTTGTCGCGATCGTTTCATACACATATACACCGCTAGATTCTCTAAATATGTTCAGTGTATACATAGCTTGTCGCCATCGTTTCGTAGACATCTACACCTGTAGAATATATACTATATAATATATTTCAATGGACTACAATAACTGCACCATCAGTAAAGATAAGAACGCATGCATACGTAACGTAAGTCAACATCCATATATAACCAAAATATCATAATGGTATCTACGGGTTTTACATTGACTGGTAAACAGTGTCCTTACTTTTAAATTGCGGTAGAAGACTTTAGCATCTCAATTGGATGTAGACGTTACACTACATATACTATAACAAAATTCGTGCGGTTTAGGTAGTAGTATCATTAAAGCCAAAACGAAATAGTAGTTTTTAAACATTTATTTTTATATAACTTGTCTAATAAATGGGTAACTTTTTTTCTTTTGAACAATAAAACTGTTTCTGGTATTCCATATGTCGATTTTTAAACATTTGTGTTGTTTTGGAATGGACTATGTAGTTTATGTACTCAGGTTAGAGTTCTAAATACCTGTTAAATGTTTCAGTAAATCAGATATAGAGACGGTATAGTTTAATGCTGACATCCTCCCATCTTAAATTTTTAATCAATTGGCTACTTTCCTTTTTATTTTGGCTTGAAGTAATGACCGTAGATTGTGGAGGGTCGAATGTAGCTGACATTGACATCTGACCGTGCGCTTTCTTTTTATGAATTGCGATGATCAATGGTTCTCATATCTTAGAGCGTACGGGTTAAAGCCCATAAAGGCAATACAGCATATAAACAGATTAAAAAACTTTATTTATTCTTCCGTCTTCAGAATAAAATTTTCGTTTATGAACTTGCTTCTTCTTTTTATTCTTCCTACGTTCTATTAACTTAATCTGTATCATTGTTATTAGCTTGACAAATCATAAATTCAATTTTGTATTTTTTTGAAAGTAGCAAGAGGGCAGATACCTCATAATCAACAAAATGTAGCTTCGGTGATTTTTTCAAAAAATCAACGCATCTTAATTATCTAATTAATTAATAGAGTACTTATTCAAACATGTCTTGGATTTTACGTCCTCTAATAATATTAATAAATTTTTATGTTGATTTATACTTCCACTTCTGTAACTAGTAGTATTAGATTAAAAAAGCAAAGAGTGTTCTCTTCAAAACAAATTGAAATACAAGCCTTTCTTGAAAAATAAATAAAAAAGAAACAAGATTGCTGATTACGAGACAAGCGCAAGCGCAAGCCATCCAAGTACACTTTTCCTCTTCACAGAGAATCTATCGGAAGAAATAAACTGGAAGTAGATGGGCCCCACAACGATCGGATCCAATCGTTACACACACGCGCGAAGCTTCCTCTGGGACCCACCTTCCAGTTGTTTGTCTTTATATATTGAGATTAGGTAGATCCTCTGGGGTTGACCCTTCTTATTTTTACTGGTTATTAAAAACTTCCCGGTTATTACACACTACTTTTATTACACACTTTTTTTTTTGTAAAGAACTTTTATTACACACTTGCTTGGTTCATACAGTATTTATTTTTCTTACTTATCAAAAAAATAAACTTACTTTTAATACGCTTTAAATCGTAGAATATTCTGCAAAACTACCCTACGTTTTTGCTGCAAATCGTAACAAAAACTGAGAAAAGAAAGAACACTCAAGACAAAAAAACAAAAAAAAATCGTCTTTAATGTACTTTGAGGACCCAACAAAACCTAACTCCGTCTTGTGTCAGTCACAACCTTTGAACTCTCCTCTTTTGAGATCTCTCTCTTAACCTTTTCGTGTTTCTGCCACACTTCTTTTGTTCTGAGATTCCAAGGTTCTTCTTCCATAAAAAAAATAAACATATTTTTTTTGGGTTTTACACTTTTAAATGAGTCACTAATTAAATCAACCCTTTTGACTAATCTCTCCTTCAATCTCACCCCCCCCCCTTTCCTATTTATATCGCTTTTATCAAAATAAAAAGACTCAAAAACCATTACACAAAGAGATTACTAACTTGGAAGAGATACAGCGATGGCGGCTTCAGCATCTGAACGTCCTCAATTTATTTCGAGCAACGGTGGCAACAGAAGCTTCTCCAACGCTCCACTCATTGACAACTCTGATCCTAATCAGATTATTGTCCCAGAGGTTTGCTTCTTTTTTCTTTGTTTTTAATAATCCCCATTTTAAATATATAATCTCAACTTTGTAGATTTTGCATGTGTTCTAATCTTCTAAAATTCACATGTGTTAGCTTAATTAATCAAATCAAGTAACAGTTGTTTCTGGGAGTAAAAAATCGCTGTCAGAGTCAACAAATTAGATTTAAAACACATAGATAATCTAGATTTTGTACCTCATAGATTTAAAAAATGAAGGCTGAATAATTTTGTTTGGGTTTCTTTGTGTATATATTGCAGAAGAAAAGCTGGAAGAATTTCTTTGCCTACTTAGGACCTGGTTTTCTTGTGTCAATCGCATATATCGATCCTGGAAATTGTAAGATCATATCATAACTCACATGCACTTTGTTAATATCATTTTCAGTAATTATATAGATGATTAATGCTTTTTTTTTCTTCCGTTGTGCTTTGCAGTTGAGACTGATCTGCAATCTGGTGCACAATACAAGTATGAGGTGTGGCACTCATTTATAGTTTCAGTATTTTTTTTTTGAAAGGAGAATATTGATTTCTTAGTAATAAACAGTTACTTTGGATCATATTGGTGGCTTCTTGCGCTGCTTTGGTGATTCAATCTCTGGCTGCAAATCTTGGTGTTGTCACAGGTTAGAAAAAGTTACTCTTTGCTTCTAAGTTGTATGCATAAAGTTTGCAAAAAAATTTTTAAAAAAGTTTGCTAAATTCATTTGGCTTACATGATCACAGGAAAACATTTGGCTGAGCATTGTAGAGCAGAATACTCCAAAGTTCCAAACTTTTTGTTATGGGTTGTTGCTGAAATTGCAGTAGTCGCTTGTGACATCCCAGAAGGCAGGCAACACCTTAATGTGTTTCAAATAACGTTTCTCTAAATAGAATATCTCTTTTTGTGCTTATTGCCATAATCTGTTTCATTTGTACAGTTATTGGAACAGCTTTTGCTCTGAATATGCTCTTTAGCATTCCGGTTTGGATTGGTGTTCTTCTGACAGGCTTAAGTACACTGATGCTTCTCGCACTTCAACAATACGGGGTATTATTCCTTTTGCCTATCTTTGGTTTCACGGTGTTGTGTTTGGTCAGCTCTTATGTTGTTTGTCTTATAGGTGAGAAAGCTGGAGTTCTTGATCGCATTTCTTGTGTTCACAATTGCTATATGCTTTGTCATTGAGCTACACTACTCAAAGCCAGACCCAGGAGAAGTCCTACATGGCCTCTTTGTTCCACAACTCAAAGGAAATGGTGCAACTGGTCTTGCTATCTCTTTGCTTGGAGCCATGGTTATGCCGTATGCCCACCCACTCTCTCTACCCATCTTTATCAGTACTTTTTTTTTTCTAAGCGACTGTTCTCTTTTCCACAGGCACAATCTCTTCCTCCACTCTGCCTTGGTCCTCTCCAGGAAAATCCCACGTTCAGCTACTGGCATCAAGGAGGCTTGCAGATTTTACTTGATAGAGAGCGGACTGGCTCTAATGATAGCCTTTCTCATAAACGTCTCTGTGATATCAGTAAGTGGTGCTGTTTGTAATGCCCCTGACTTGACCCCTGAAGACCGAGCTAAATGTGAGGATTTGGACTTAAACAAGGCTTCGTTTCTGCTACGAGTAAGTTTCTTGCTTACTTACTTGCTTCTGCCTTTGCTTCAGTTTCAAAACATTAAAGTTTTTTTTTGTTTTGCTTCCTCTGTTTTGAAACAGAACGTGGTTGGTAAATGGAGCTCAAAGCTATTCGCTATCGCGCTTCTTGCTTCAGGGCAGAGCTCAACGATAACTGGAACATATGCTGGACAATACGTGATGCAAGGCTTCCTTGATCTAAGACTTGAGCCATGGCTAAGAAACTTCCTAACAAGATGTTTAGCTATTATCCCTAGTCTAATAGTTGCTCTCATTGGTGGTTCAGCTGGAGCTGGAAAGTTAATCATCATTGCCTCGGTAACACAATCATATCCCATCTCTAAGCATATATATAGATATGACTTATTACACGATATCAAATCATTGACTTAATGAAATGTGAACAGATGATCTTATCCTTTGAACTCCCTTTCGCGCTAGTCCCGCTCCTCAAGTTCACTAGCTGCAAAACCAAGATGGGTTCACATGTAAACCCAATGGTGGTATGTAACTACATAACACATTTTCACTCAACAAAAGAGCTAAAGAAAAGATTGAAAAACCGCTATTTATCTCTTAATTTCATGTGTTACTTTGTTGTCTAACAGATTACAGCTTTGACTTGGGTCATTGGTGGTCTGATCATGGGAATAAACATATACTACATAGTAAGCAGTTTCATTAAACTGCTAATACATAGTCACATGAAGCTTGCCCTTGTCATCTTTTGTGGAATTCTTGGGTTCTCAGGCATTGCTATCTATTTAGCATCTATAGCTTTTCTTGTCCTCCGGAAGAACAGAAAAGCTAGTCCTCTTCTTGCTTCAACAAACTCACAAACTGTGGAGACTCTCCCAAGACAAGATATTGTAGACATGCAACTACATGGTAAAACGGCTGCATCAGATCTTGATTGAGTCTTATTCAATCATATCTTAAAACTTAGGATTCTAATAAAATTGGCTCAAACCAAGTTTACAAAGACTTCTAGACAGTACTAGTTAAAAGGTTCTTAGGCCTTGTAAGAGTTGGTTTTTTTGTCATCTTTTTTTTTCAAAAGGGATCAGATTCTCGTAGGTCTATCTAAGGAACAATGTTACAATAATATCAGATAATAATAATATCAGATAATAAAATCATTGCTTTAGCATATGAGTGACGCGTAATTATCGATTACAAAGGAGCAATCAGCTATATATTTTTATATATGTAACTAAGGATTAAACAAATAACTTAGTCAAATCAAACGTATCACTTTAGAATAAACTTTTTTATGTGGGTGTGATGAGAGGTTATGGTCGTAAACTGTTCTAGGATTCGATCGTGACGTTGTTTTGGTTCGAATCTTGAGGAAGAGGAAGATGACCTTTCTCTTGCAAGCTCTTGACAGATTCGTAGAGAGATTGCTTGATGGGCATAAACTCTAAGCCTAAGTCTTTTATCTTTTGAGTAGTGAACTTGTATGGTTTTGCCCTCGGATTCTTCTCGTCCGAACACCTACAAGAATTAAAAAATAAACAACAACAATATGTTAATCAGCACACGAAAAGTGAATACAATTTCTTGCGTAACACTCTGAAGTGACGTATCAGTTATTGAACTAGCCAAAGGAGACACAAGTCGTGAAACTAATGACCAAAATTTGGAGTAGGTGGAGAAAAACATGTACACTTCCGTTTTTCGTCAAATGGAGTTAGACCCGTAACATGACTACACGTTTTTAGTATAAACACAAAGACAAAAACACAAACACAACGTGTATACATATGATTTTGTATGATCTCCACGTCAGCATTAGGTGATACATGCCATGGACATTGTGTATGACAAGTGACAAGTGCCAATACCAAACACCACTCATGTCCCTTTTATCCTAACTAAATATTTATTGATTGTTGAAACAAAAACGTATCTATGTGACTATGTATCAATAATCAAACTCAAAAACAGTTTGTAAATCCAAGGTTATATTAATTAGACTGACAAGATCATGTTGCTTTGATCTAATTTAGACCAGAGTGTTGAAATGAGACAAACGTGTGACTTACTTGGTCGGTAGCGGATACTCAGGGAAGAACTTAGCAAGAATCTCAACAACCTCCCCACGGTGAAGGGCAGTCTCGGCGAGGATGTAACGTCCTGCAGCGGAAGGTGATTCGTAGACCATAACATGGCCTAATGCAACATCACGGACGTCCACGTAGACCTGAGTAAGGTTAGCATAGGTCTTGGCTGAGCCGGTGAGGTACTTGAGGATATGAACTAGACTAGCGTTGACCGCTGACTGGAGCGGTGGTCCGAGAACTAGAACCGGGTTTAGCACCACTAAGTCCACACCTTTGGCCTTGGCCGTCTCCCACGCTGATTGTTCCGCCACCATCTTCCCATAGCAATACCAATTCTACAAGGCACCAAAAGGGTTAAAATACTAATATTATTTTTTTCGTGCAAAACACGTAAACTTATTAAAGCCACATGCTACTAGGTAACATTATTTCGGTCGGTGGTGTTTGATGAAAATTTCTTGCCAAAAAATAGATAAAGATATACCTTTGTGTTCTTGCAGAAATCAAGATCACTCCAACAGTTTTCATCGACTATGGTTTGAGGGTCACGGTTAGGGTTCATGTAAACAGCACCTATCGATGACGTGAACACAACACGCTTGACCTTGGCTTTAGCAGCTGCGTCGATCACGAACTTGGCTCCGTTCACAGCCGGCTCCAACATTGTCTCCTATTTACATTAATAACTAAGATTAAACCTAAGAAAACAGAGTAATATTAATGATTTAATGAAAATAGTTTACTAACGGGGTCATCGGTCATTGGAGAAGCGGTGTGGAAAACGCCATCGCAGCCATCTATTGTGGCACATAGAGCTTCATAGTCGAGAAGATCAGCACTGTGAAGAGTGAGTCTTTCTTTGGCTCCTTCAAGCTCTCTGAGATGGTTGTTCTTGGGATCAGATGGATTACGTACGGTTCCTCTTACCGTGTAGCCTCTCTCCAAAAGTAACTTAACGATCCAAGAAGCTATGTAGCCGCCGGCTCCTGTGACGCAGACTAGTTTCCCGTCGGCAGGCATTTTTTTCTTTTGTTGCTGGAGCAAAAGATGGTTAAGAAGGTTAGAGAATGCTATGGGTTATGATGTGTTACAGGGAGACTTTGTTATTTGTATTTATAGAGACTTCAAAACAAGTGACGGCTTTAGGGTTATGACCTTGCCGTGTTTCACCTAACCATGATAAAGAGTTGGTGAGTCTTCATAAGTCAATAGTAGTATATTTTTTGAAATTTCGAAATTTTAGAAGTGTAAATGCATCCGGAAAAGGCCAAACGAAATCGTCAACTAAAGGTTCGTGAATCTTACAACAATGCTTTTAAGTTTTAATTTGTTTCTCCTTTTGGTGTATTATCATTATCTTGTTTTCAAAACCAAGTGGTGGTAAGAGAGGTTGAGATTATTGACATTTGACTCTATTTAGCATCCTTATTTCAACTTATTAACCAATTAAGTTGATGTATCTTCATGAAAAAGATTATTATATCTCCTGTCTATGTTGAAAGTAAGTATATCATTGGTAAAAGATGAGTCTCTAATTCAAACCGTGTCCCGTCTAAAGATTGTTGAATGTAACTATTACACAGACGATTTCCTAGTGGATTTCCCACAATACAGAAGTCAAATTCGCACGTGATAAACGACTTAACAACCGACAGAGAAACATTGGCTCATAACAGAACCAAAACTATTGTCACTGATTTTACAACTTATTGGGCTTAAATAACATGAACTAATGGGCCTTACATTGTGTCCACAAAAAATCATAATCCATTCAAACAAAACCAAGACATGTCCTAACTCAGATTCTTCATAACATTTTGATTCAGACACTAAACAGTTTCAGTTCAGACAGTAGCTAGTGTTCCTTCCTCTTCACTCACGATCCTAATGTTTCAAACTCTTGATCAATACCATTCAGTGATCATGCATTTCAAACCGGTAACGAAAAAGAAACATATAATTTTAAGGAATTTTTATTTTTTTTATTTGATACTATCAGAGTGCAACCTGACCATTTTCAACACCTAATCCATACAAAACACCAGCATACTTCTGCAACGGACCAACAAAGAAATTCTCCTTAAGCTTTCTAAAAGTACAAGAAGTAAGCAAACTATCCGAACCCGCCTGGTGACAGATCCCAACTCTCTCCACCTCCAGCAACTCCGCCAGCTTATTCAAACCACCGTGAAGACTATTACAGAACTTCATCAAGTGCTTAATATCATACACCATCGGAAAATAAACACTAATCAACTCGAAAAACCCCGTCTGCGACTCGGGCAAATTCTGACATGTCAGGAGTTTCAACAAGTATCCGAAATCGTATCCACTGTGGAAAGTAACCCAATGCACGTTCTCGTTCAACACGATCCCTGAAGACATTAACAGCTCCGCGAATCTGTTCGACTCGATCCCTTCTTGAGTGTTTTTAACGAAGTCGATGCCTGATTGTTTGAGGAGATCGATTGAGTCCACAGCGAAGATGTCGGTGTCGAGATCGAATTCTTTGAAGTTGAACTGCCAGATGCAGTATTTGTCGGTGCCGCAGGTGGGGAGGTTACCTTGTTCGTTGGAGAAGGTGAGACCGAGCTGGATTATGTTGAGGATGTTGACGTTGAGCTTTAGTGTTTCGTAGTGGTAATCAGCGTTTGATTTGAATGTTCCGACGGGGCGTACGACGATTCCGGGGAACTCGGTGTCCATGGCGACGTAAGGGAAGTCGTCGACGATTTTTCGGATCAGATCCATTTCTTCTTGGAGGTTATCGTTCCATACTTCGCGGATTTGGATCGAATCGTCTTTTAGAAACAGAGACATGTCTTTTATGTGTTACGCATCTGGATTAGTGAAGATACGGTGGAGATACGAAATGTGGAAACGGATCTAGAGGTAGACCTGATCCGGTTTCATTTAAATCTGTGATCAATTACAACAGAAATGAATGAAACATTTCAATTCTCAACAAAATATCGTATATACACACTAAGAGAGTGGTGATATCGAACCTGTGAATCAAAGGAGAAGTACGGCGGCGATTGGTCGTGGGGGTATGGTATGGTTTCAGAAGATGTGGTGGTTTATCTTACGAGAAATGGAAGGTGAAGAAGTGATAAATTGTTTAATCAGTTTTTATGTTTTCTGCTCATTCTTTTTTTTTTTTTTATTAAAAACTAATAACTATTGCTGCCAATTATACTCCTCTGTTTCAATAAAAATAGGTTTTGTTAAGAGTGCTATTTTTTAAAAAAATTGTTTAATTTGAAAAAATGATATTTAATATATATATAAGTACAACCAATAGTAAAAAGACATGAATTACTAGAATTGACAGACAATATCCAATAAATGTTAAAATTGCTTTCATTAGTAAACACCTTATATTGAAAACAAGTTTTCTTTTTACTAAAACTACCTATATATTGAGACATAGAGTATTTAGGATTTATCTTGAATTTTTTTGTGGGACAAACTGATTTTGGAATGTATATCACTTTACATGATTTCATTAAATAGTTATTAGTTAGAATGAGTTTTTTCTACTACAACTTCACATATATTAATTTCTAAAAAAAAGTCTACGTAAATTTTTATTCTTCTTTAAATTTAAAATTTTGATGGATGTATAAAAATAAATGAAATTTAGTATTCAGTTCAAATTTTTAATTCTTCATTATTTCAAACTTTTAGGGTAATGGTAAAGAGATTGGCTGTGCAGTAAGTTGAGTTGGGAAACGAAAAATGTCAAATCAATAGCGATTACGACTTGTTGTTAATAATGAATTGTGCTGCTCGATGAAGGCATGCAAGAGTTCGATTAAAAACAAAACCTTATCTATTTAAAAGCAGAAGACGGAACATCAGAGGTGGAAGCAACCAAAAAATAAAATAGAATAAAGTACGATGTCCTCTAACAACAAGATTGCTGCAAGCGATAAACTTGCAAATGAACTGGCTAAGAAAATGGTGGAAGAGATAGAAAAGCGGGCGAACGAAATGACGAAGCAAAAGAATGAAGAGCTGAAGAAAGTAAAGAAAGAGAAGAATGAAGAGCTGAATAAAGTAAGAAAGGAGCTTAAGAAAGTAGTCACAGATAAGGATAAAATGTTGAAGAAAGTGATTAAGGATAATAAACAAGAGCTCGACAAAGTAATAGAGGACAAAGATAAAAAGCTTGAGGAGGAGCGTCGTGAGTTTGAAGGGTTAGAGGATACTAACTCGGCACTCCTCATAAAAGAACGTCAAAGCAGTGATGAGATACAAGAAGCACGCACAGAATTGATTAGGGTAATTTATATATATATTCATGATTTATTTTCATCTTCTTAAGTGCTGCTGATATAACTTCTTTTTTTAATGTATTTGCAGGGATTCGGATATTTATCGGGTGAAGGATCCATGATCGGAGTAAAGAGAATGGGAGAAGTTGATGAAAAACCTTTTCTGAAAGTATGCCAGCAGAGATTCAATGGCGACAATGTTGCGCTGCAACATGCCATGCTTTGTTCAATATGGCAGAGAAACATCAATGACTCAGCATGGTACCCATTTAAAATAGTTGTAACAGGAGAAAAAATGAAGGTACGTATTAATGTTATTATATCTTATTTTCTGTACCAGTACTCTGTCTACTGTTTTACGAGTGGTGGTTTTGGTGAATGGTGTATAGGAAGTTGTGGATGATGAAGACGAGAAACTAAAGGAATTGAATGAAGAGTGGGGAGAAGATGTGAAGAACGCAGTGAGGACAGCTCTCGAGGAGCTTAACGAGTTTAACCCAAGTGGTCGGTACGCAGTTCCAGTACTGTGGAATTTTGAACATGGGAGAAAAGCCACGCTCAGTGAAGGTATTGCTCATATGACGCAGCAGATCAATGATCTCAAACGCAAACGAACCTAAAAGGTAAGGTTTGTGCCACAACTTTTCAAATGAATTTCCCTAGTTTTAAGGTATACACATAAACATATAGGGATGTGTCAGTTTCGTTTTATGTTGATGATACTAAGACTAGTGTTCATGTGTTACAGGAAGCAGGATGATCAGTGAAGGACTGAAAATAGGTTCTTAGCGGTTTTTGTAATTTGATAAGCAAAGGAGCTACGAGTCGTTTTGTAAGGGCTTGATACTTGCTAGTCAGTGTTTCTCATTTTCTATTTTATTTTAAACAATTTAAACCCGTTGAATTGTTTCTTTTGAAACTCTACTACATTCCTATTAGTATTAACTATTTTCTTCTCGTTGGTTTGGTTACATGTTTTTCTTTTGTGTCTTATATACTAAAACCTACGTTAGGGTAATTAAATTATGGTTGTGAGGAAGCGTTATGTATGGTTGAGGCTTTTATTGCCCACACTTAACTCTGTTTCTTTTAATTTAATGAAAGTGGTGTTAAAAAAAAGGGTAATTAAATTCCGTGGCCTTTCTGAGGTTCTCATGTTTTTTTTTTGTAAAACAATTGCCATGGACATCTTGAGAACTCACAGTTAGACACCATTTATTTTGTACTAAACAACTTTTGAAAACAGATCAACTCGCTCTCATATCCAAGCCTTGCATCATGATGAGAATACAGAGACTTTAAATGGAACAATAACATTGCACTATTAATTTTCTAGCATCACTTTTTTTCTTCGCACACAACTGTTATGACGCTTGATTTAATTTTGTAACTCTAATAACAATACTGGGAGAAGTTTTAAGTTTTTAGAGCATTTTCAACAGTACTCCGTTTTATAAAGGTGAGTTGCTCTAATGATTAATTTTGAAAATATCTTCAGGTTTTTTAAATTTTCATCTTAAAATACATACATGCTTTAAAATATTTAAAAATTGTATTTTTGAAACAATTTTTTTTTTCAAAATTGGAGTGCAGTAAAAGAAGTTGAATTGGGAAACGAAAATGATGATTACGAAATGTCATATCAATAATAACACGGCTAGCTAATAATGAATTGTGCTGCTCGATAAAGAATTTATCTGTATGCATTAAACAAAAACTTATCTGTTTAAAGAAGAAGACGGAACATCAGACGTAGAAGCAACCGAAAACAAAAAAAAATGATGGACGTAGAAAGGATGGAGAAAAAATTTAACGAAGATCTCGAGAATTTAAAGAAGAAGATAGAAGAAGACCTGAAGGAAATCACGAGGAAAAATAATAAAGAGCTCAAGAAAGTAAGGAAGGAGCATAATAAAGAGCTTAAGAAAATAAGGAAGGAGCATAATGAAGATCTAAAGAATCTAATCACCGAGAACAATGAAATGGTGAGGGTAGTGATGATGGACAATGATAAAAAGCTTGAGGAGAAGCGTTGTGAGCTCGAAGAATTAGAGGATGTGAACTCGGCACTCATCATAAAGGAACGTCAAAGCACTGATGAGTTGCAAGAAGCACGCACAGAATTGATTAGGGTAACTTATGTATATATTCAAGATTTAGTTTCATCTTCTTGAGTGCTGATGATATAACTTATGTATATGTATTTGCATGCAGGGAATGAGAGATTTATCGTGTGAAGGATCTATGATCAGAGTTAAGAGGATGGGAGAAATTGATGAGAAACCTTTCCTGAAAGTATGCAAGCAGAGATTCAGAGGCGAAAACGTTGAGCTTCAATACGCCATGCTTTGCTCCAAATGGCAGAAAGCCCTTAAAGACTCAGCATGGTACCCATTTAAACGCGTGGGAGCTGGAGAAAAGATGAAGGTATTGTTTTCTCTCATGTTCTTTACCATTTCTGTCTATGTTTTTTTACAATAAGGTGTTGTTTAGGAAGTTGTGGATGATGACGATGAGGAACTTAAGAAATTGAATGAAGAGTGGGGAGAAGATATAAAGACCGCAGTTAAGACAGCACTCGAGGAGCTCAACGAGTTCAACCCAAGTGGTCGGTGTTCAGTTCCTGTACTGTGGAATTTTGAACACGGGAGAAAAGCCACACTCAAAGAAGGTATTGCTCACATGAGTCAGCAGATCAAAAATCTCAAACGCAAACGAACCTAATTAAAAGGTATGTTCCTTAACTTTGTAAATGAATCTCCCTAGGGTTGCTACAGTCTCATTTTATTTGATGCTTGCAATGCATGAAATTGTGTTGTAAAAAATATAATTGATTGTACCAAGAGGTTGTGTTCTTGTGTTCCAGGGAGATGGATGATCAATGAAAGATGGAAAATAGGTTGTTACCTGTTTTTTGTAACTTGCTAGTCACTAGTCAGTGTTTCTCGTTTTGTATTTTAAAATCTAAACCCGTTGGAATGTACTCTTTTGAAACTCTATATTGGTATTAACTAAATTTCTAGCCGTTTTCCAGCTCCTTGGTTTTGTAACATGTTTTTCTTGTTGTGTCTTATAATGAAAACCTACGTTAGGGTAACTTAATTACGTGGCTCTTCTCAAGTTCTCATGTTTTTATATACATCATGTATTTATTTAAATCATCTTTCTTGGTTGATGTCTCAAAGGTTATAAACAATCAGCGTAATAGTTAATATTTGGATTCAGTCACTCACCGGTATAAAGCAGACCAAGCAATTAGACACCATTTATTTTACTAAACAAAAGGGTTAACCAGGCCTCGCATCACTCAACAACTGCAACACATAAGGAACAAAGTTTCCCAACCTGATGAGAATGCAGAGAAGAGTTTCGTTGCAATCATTATTAATTTTCCAATCCAACAGTCGAACAATAATGGCACACATTTTTTCTTTGGTACAACTCTTAGCACGCTTGCTTTAATTGGGTGGCTCAACTAACAACATTGGGACGAGTTCAAAATTTTGCCAGAATTTAGAAAACTTATTAGAAAAGTGTTCTAAGTTTTCATCAAGTATAACACAATATACCGGGCGCATGTTTGATTTTATACACGATGGTTCATATGGTTTCATATATATATATATATATATATATAAACATGGATAAATATCATTAGAAGGACGATCATGAGTGCTTAATTAATCGTTTTTTTTGTTTGCTGAATTAAACATCGTGTCAACTATGCTTAACCAAACAAATTAATATACAGAAGAGAAAAACAAGACAAAATAATACTCAACGACAACAGTGAAGTGAACCAGCTATACTTTTTAATTAAAAAAAGGGTTTTTAGTAATAAAACCCCTCAACTAAAGATGGATCGTAAAAAAACCCCTCAACTAAAGATTTAGTGAAATAAACCCTCAACTTTAGTTCTGTTAATGTTTGTCACCCTCCTTCACAGAATTTTAGACGGAGGGTAACATATGTTAACAGAACTAAAGTTGAGGGTTTATTTCACTAAATCTTTAGTTGAGGGTTTTTGTTACGATACATATTTAGTTGAGGGGTTTTATTACTAAATGTGGTTAAATATTTTAAAATCTTTATTATCATTTATTCATTATTTAAGAATCTTAAAATTGATTTATAAACTTTGAAAGTAATTTATATTTTTTTATATTACTTTATCAATGTTATAACCTATTTATAAAGTTTTCTCATTTAATACTTTTTATAAATTATTATTAAAGTTTAATGATGATTTTATAAGATTAAAGAAGTGATTATTCGTCATACTACAAAAACATGAAGTAAATAAATAAAAAAAGAAAAGCTTATTGATTAATATGGTAGGAGTATAACATATTGGTTCAGAAATTAAAAAAAAAAAGAAAAAATAATCCTACATTAGTTTTTCTAAAACAGAAAAAGTACGAATCAAATTGAAATTGTTTAAAGAGGAGAAAAAAAGTCCTTGCCATATTTTAAGTAACAATGTTGAATTTCTAAACTAATTAAATATTCTCAACACTACCTACAACTTTATATAACTTAGAAGTCTTAATTATTTGATATTTTAAAGTATTAATATAAGAAAATTGTATGTGTTTCCTCTTTTATAAAGTTTTATCGCTTTACTTCGTAATATCAAGAAAAATCATGTATTATTTCATCCTAAGAAATAGCAGACAAAAGCTTATAAAATCATCATTAAACCTTATTAATAGTTTATAAAAAATTAAAATATTTACTAAGCTTTATAAATAGGTTAAAAATTTGATAAAGTAATATATAAAAGATTAGAAATTATTTTCAATGTTTATAAATCAATTGTAAAATTCTTAAATACTGATAATAGAGATTTTCAAATATTTAACTGCATTTAGTAATAAAACCCCTCAACTAAAGATGAATCGTAACAAAACCCCTCAACTAAAGATTTAGTGAAATAAACCCTCAACTTTAGTTATGTTAACGTATGTTACCCTCCGTCTAAAATTCTGTGACGGAGGGTGACAAACATTAATGGAACTAAAGTTGAGGGTTTATTTTACTAAATCTTTAGTTGAGGGTTTTTTTTACGATCTATTTTTAGTTGAGGGGTTTTATTACTAAAAACCCTTAAAAAAACAGAAAATAGTTAAGAAAAATATGGAATAAGTTGACCAATTCATGGTAGCCACGATTAGTGAGGGACAAAATTATTTGGACCGGACTGTTTGATAATTTTCATCGACCCTACGCCATTTCTATTTAATGTCCTCTCTCTTTTACACTTTGATACGCCCCCTTCATCATATCATATTCTTTAATATACACGCAACCAAAATAACTAGTCCTCTTTTTTTTTTCTTTCACAAATGATGTTAATAAGTAATAACACACACTGACACACACATTAAATATGTGATATTGTCGAAGATATAGTAAGAGAGTCGATACAGTAAGTATGGATTGTGCATTGAAAAGTAATATAATTTATCAGAATTACCACAAATAGAGAGTAAAGTAAACACATGTTTAAGGAATCCGGTTAGAACTAAAAGTCGATCCAATAATACAAGATAACACTACTATTGACAGTAAAACCTGCGATGTGACGTCGGGCTTTAGAACAAACAGTCGCTTCACCATCTTTGAACGGTCCTGATTAGTTCCTCCACTCCCAACAATCCAACACCACCACACACATTGACACACACACACATAGTTTTATATTTATTTATTTGTATAATTATCTATAATGATTCAGTTTTTACCAAATATATTCGATGACGCAATGTGATTAAACTTTAAGGGAATGGACGAAATTTAAATGGTTATCTTAGTCCTATGAGGTACAAATTCTTCGAATGTATAGACCTTTAGTTGTGCATATATAATATTCTCAATCAAACAGAGACCATTCATCAATTCCTTAGTTTATAAAACCTAACAAATTGTGTGTACTGTATTATTAAGCATAATTAGAAAAATGCATACTTAGGAATACGTTATAAATGCGAAGCGAATAAATTTATAATAATCACAAAAGAGGAACTGTAATCTAGTTATAAGAATACCGACAAATCTCAGTTATAATTTTAATTTGACATGTAAACATGATTGAATCTTGTTATATTTGCAAATAAGGCAATAAACCCCAGCTGTACTTTATGATTATCATATGTATATCTTGATTTTTATTTCGTGAAGTCACTAATAGCATGTATTAGAGATTAACCCAAAAAGATTACCAATAAAAAAGAGTCGACCGTGACAAGGAAAAGTCAATAACCATCGCTTTTATCATCATTCTCTTTGCTAAACAACTCACAACCACACAAACACCAAAGTATTCGATTCTCGTGGAAAAGAACAAATTTAGCAAATAATGCATGTTGCGAGAGAGAAAGAGATCCCACAATGATTCCTTCATGCTAAAAGCTTCTTTAGCGTACACTAATACATGTATCATGTAATGTAAGTAGAAATATAAAAAGATGATATACACGACGCATTCTCATAAAGATATCAACATTTCATGTTATGCAGATAGTCTTTCTTAGGACACATGAATTGAAATTGAGGATTACCAACCCACTCACTTTTTTCCTGATTCAAAACCAAATACCATCTTTTTTGCACACACATTAAAAAAACAAAAAGATATCAAAAAAAAATGTGAAAAAAAAAAATTAATTTTATATATTTTTAAAATAAAAACACAATTATTTATACACTTAACCACTTTTTAACCAATAAAAAAATATAATATTATATAAAACTAATAAATTTTGACTCAAAACTCTAAAATAATACGTAATTTGTTACAAAAAATTAAGTCTATAATGATAAGTATTCTAAAACGGAGGGAGTATGTTTTAAGCAGACTCACAACTATTTAAAAGATTATTTTTATTTTAATAAGTATTACTAAACATATTTAAATTTATTCAAACAAATACTAATTCAACTATAAAATACTATTGATCATAAAGTATACTTATAGTTATCTAATTCTTTTTTTTTTTTTTTTTTTTTTTTTTTTTTTTTTTTTTTTTTGTCAACACTTATAGTTATCTAAATATACATGGGATAAAGATGCTCTTAAAATCTTAAATTTCTTAACGGAGGGACTATCCATGTCTTTAGGATCCTTCACTCAGAAGTCAACTCTCAGATCTCTTCTCCTATAAATACCCTACACATCCTCTTAATCTATCCACAACACAATAATCACAAATATATATAGCCTAAAAGATCCCATCTCTCTCTCTCTCTCTCCCTACAATGGACCACGAGGAGATTCCATCAATGCCCTCAACGCCGGCTACAACACCGGGAACTCCAGGAGCACCGCTCTTTGGAGGTTTCGAAGGGAAGAGAAATGGACATAATGGTAGTAAATACACACCAAAGTCACTTCTAAAAAGCTGCAAATGTTTCAGTGTTGACAATGAGTGGGCTCTTGAAGATGGAAGACTCCCTCCAGTCTCTTGCGCTATACCTCCTCCTAACGTCTCCCTCTACCGTAAGGTACACTTTCATACAGTACACACACTAAACTTGTTACCCCCTCCATATTTATATAAGCACATAACTAAAGATCACTTGTGTGTATATGTACAGTTGGGAGCAGAGTTTGTTGGGACACTGATACTGATGTTCGCCGGAACAGCCACGGCGATTGTGAATCAGAAGACTGATGGAGCTGTGACGCTTATCGGGTGTGCTGCCTCCGCTGGTCTAGCAGTTATGGTCGTTATATTGTCCACCGGTCACATCTCCGGGGCACATCTCAATCCAGCTGTCACCATTTCATTTGCTGCTCTTAAGCACTTCCCATGGAAACACGTCAGTTACTTTTATTTTTATATCTTGTATACAGTTTTGGACGTTACTGAGAAACCCACATGAATCACAGACATGCACATGCACCTTCTATTAAATTAAAGATAATTTAGAGTGATTATTTAAATGGAAATTATTGATTAGTGTCTAAATAATTCATTGTGTAAAACAATATTAGGTGCCGGTGTATATCGGAGCGCAGGTGCTGGCGTCCGTGTGTGCGGCGTTTGCACTGAAAGCAGTGTTTGAACCAACGATGAGCGGTGGCGTGACGGTACCAACGGTGGCTCTAAGCCAAGCTTTCGCTTTGGAGTTTATTATCAGCTTCAACCTTATGTTTGTTGTCACTGCCGTCGCCACCGACACTAGAGCTGTAAATTTACACAACAATACATTAAAAAAAACATTTCAAACATATGTTTGTGTCTGAAAAAATTGTCATATTAATATTACAGGTGGGAGAGTTGGCGGGAATAGCGGTAGGAGCAACGGTCATGCTTAACATACTCATAGCTGGGTAAAATATTACTCCATGTTAAAAAAAGAAAAGAAAAAACATTACTCCATGTTCTTAAAAAATATAAGATGTTTTAGGTAGAAGACCGCATATTAAAACAATTATTTTTATTTTACAATATTTTAAAATTGTAAACTAAAAACTACTTATTTATTTACAAAATAGATTGTAAAATATGAGTTAAAAATTAATTAAGTGAGACATTTTTTTTTTGAAACACTAATTAAATATGAGATTGTCCTACATATTGTAGTATATAAAAAAAAAAATTTAAACATCCTCAAAATCAACATTTGTCTTCTTCTTTCTTTGATATATGACTATGTGTTGTTAATCATGAATTCATGATCAACAGACCTTCAACTTCAGCTTCGATGAATCCTGTAAGAACACTAGGTCCAGCCATTGCAGCAAACAACTACAGAGCCATTTGGGTTTACCTTACTGCTCCTATTCTTGGAGCGTTAATCGGAGCAGGAACATACACGATCGTGAAGCTACCAGAGGAAGATGAAGAACACAAAGAAAAGAGGAGCTTCAGAAGATAATTAAATGACAACAACTTCAAACCCATTAGCTATGTTACTCCGTTTCTGTCACATGTGTATAATATAAGCTCCTAAGCCAACCACATCAGTATAAAATTGCGAATGTTTTCCTTTTTGCAACAGTGTTTCTCAAAAGGTCTCATACAGATTTTTTTTTTTATAAGGAAAACAAAGTAAGTAGTTGGCTTATTCTAGTTCATTTTGATGATGAGATCGTTGATCTTGTCTTCACGGTTGCCAGTATCACCTCCTTCACTGAAAACCTGTTTCTTCCCATGCAAGACACCAGCCTCAGGCTTGTTTAGTTTCAAAGGTCCCAAGAATCTCATAACTTCTCTGAAATGAGCACCGACCCTTGATATCTCATTCACAAGGTCTTCTATGCAAAAGATTTCGTGTTCTCCTAGAGCCTGATTAAGAACAGCATGGTCATTACAATAAGCTCTTGTATACTTTTGAATAGGAAACTACTTATTACCTGTTCGATTATGTTGTTGTCGGTAAGAGGAACAGGATTGCCTTCTATGATTGTGTATCCCTTTTTGAATATGAGGTCCTTAACGCTCTTATCACTCGGGTATCTTCAAGAATGGAATAAACATTAGTAAGAACTCATACAAGAATCAATCATGCAAAACAGCATTGAATCATGTTTTACTCACCCATAGGTGACGTAAGGCTGAACTTTGAGAAGCTTTTGAAACAAACCGTCAGTTGCTTTGGCAAAGACACCAGTAAAAGTGCTCCTTAGTTGCATACTGTTAAGAACCTTCTTGGTCTTTGGGTGCATATCATTCTTGCTGTTCACCAGAAAGTAAAGGGGGAAGGAATGATGAGTACACTCGCAGAGATAATAAAAGTCAAAAAATACCAAAGGAAAATATAATAAACCCATTGGAGGATATCAATTACCCTTGTATGCGTATGATGAAGACAAGGTTAGAATTTATCGGTGCAGGAGATGACTTTGGCCTCTTAACCCTTTGTTTCATCCTGATAAGATCTACTTCCTATAGGAACATGAAGTATGCAGTATTAACAAAACAAACAACCAAGTTGCAAAACACAATCTTGTAGGAGAAATCTCAAATGAGAAACACACACTCACACATCTAACATGTAAAACAACTAGAGTCCAAGAAACTCTCATGAAAATATAACACAAGACACTCACAGAGATAAAGACTATAACTTTAAATATACTTCAAACGTCTGAATCATCTATGGATTACAAATCATAAATTTAGGGGAATCTCATGGACCCTGACTAAAAAGGTTGAGCAGAGTTATATCAAAAGGCAAATGTTTTTTTTTTTGGTATTACAGAGGAGATTGAGAAGTACCTTAGCTCTGAACTCCAACACAAAATCTTCTGGTCTTTTGATATCAGCAACTTTCTTCTTCTTCTTGCCGAAGTTTCCAAGCTCAAGCTGCTTCTTCCTGATAAAGGCAAGCTCATCTCTGTTCTTCCTCTTCTTCAGTATAACCTCTGGTATGTAGTCCAACCCCTTTGGTTCCTCTACAGCCATCACCTTTGGTTCTTCTACAGCCACAACCTTAGCTTCTTCTTCAGCCATTATTATTATTATTATTATCTCTTCTTATTATCTCTACAAAAGAAACACATCTCAGAGTCTTATAAAACAAAATGTAATGAAAGGGGACAAAACAAAACAGAAACAGAACTAAACCCTATAAGTGAGACTAGATAGAAAAAATACGAAGCAACAAGAAGCTTAACGAGTGTATGCAAAAAGTACCAAGTGGCGACGAAGCAAAAATTGAGGCTGGCCAAGAAGATGATTGATTGAGATTTCTAGGGTTTATGAACTGAACTCATTAGACCTAATTAAGGTCCCGGGTCAAACCTATACAATCTTGGGTCTAAGCCCATTATTTATAGTTTATAGGCTTTGCTTCAAGTAAGCCCATTCTATCGTGATTATCCTAGCAAGAAAGTGATGGGCTTTGTATCAGTGTCAGCATTAAATTAAAACTCAATAAACAAATTGTTTATGATTTATCAGAAAGTAAATGCGCTTTCAAAGCGTGAGATTATTTTCGTAACAAATCAAATTTATATGTTATAAATTTGCATGTTTGAATATATATTTATATTTAAATGTGAAATTTAAATATTACACATGAACCATTATATTCAGTGTTATGAAACACAATCTGGACCGGTTGTTAAATCGACAAAACCGATGACTTTATATGTAATCCAGTTTGATTTTTTTTTTTAAAATTATTATTTAAATTTTTTATAAACCCCCCCACCCAAAAATCCCGCTAAAACTTAGGACTCGGCTACTGGTGCAAAGTGCGAAAATGTTTTTGAAACAAACCAAATTTATATGATATAAATTTGTATTTTTGATAATGTATCAACATTTACATGTTAGACATGAAGCGTTATATTCAGTGTTTTGAAACATAACTTGGACCCATAGTTAAACCGAAAAAATTGATGATTTTATATGTAACCCGATTTGGTTTTACAAAAAATTTGTTATAAAAATTATGTACACCCGCAAAAACTGTGTATTAAGGGAGATACGTTTTATTTTCACAAGAATATTCAAAAGTATTTTGAAAGAGATTAGTCCATTAAGCAACTCATTAGATATATATTGTTTGTACAAATTATATAGTTTTGTAGGTTTAAAAACCAAAAGACCATATTGACATTAATGAAATAAAAAATTATTCATATCCTTAAGGGTATTTTTGGAAAAAAATAATTTTTTTATTAAAGTAAATGATCCCGTTTCAATGATATTAATTTTGATTATTAAGTAGTCCTCTAACTATAAATAATCATAAACAATTTGTTTATTTTTCACTCTCTTGTATACTTTGTAATATAATTTTTTGACAAAATAAACTCTTGCAAGAGATCATAGATGAAAGCATGAAAGTGTCTGTTGATTCAACTTTTATGGTGGAGAACCAACAAATCGAGCTTAAGCAAATAAAAAATTAACTGATTTGACGGTTTACTTTGACTTTTGCTAATAGTTGTATGGTTTTGTAAGTTAACAAGAAGGAATATATAATCATAAACAATGATTAGTGACATTTTTATGTGAGATGGATGTTTATGTTTTGGACATTGAACCAAAAACGGGAGAATGGATTAAAAAGATTGAAACGAAAGGGATTGTCGGGGAGATTTAACTGGCTTCATAATCCTTTTCAAAGTGATAACTTACCTAACACTTAAAAAAATAAAGACAGCTTTTTTAAGATCTGTCCCGTTTCTTTAGAAAATACAAATTTTATATGAATTATTTCACTAAATTAGATAAAATATAATTTATCAAATTACTCATTAAATTATTAGAAAAAATCACCATGTACCATAAAAATAATTTTAACATACATTAATATAAATTTAGAATGTTATTAGGTAATTTTTAATCAACAATAAAAACCTAAACTTCAGAATACACCATTTATCAAAAAATTCGTTTTTTCGTAGAGGTTAACCCACATATTTTAAGAAAAATAGAAGATATTGTATCTTTTGTTTTAATTCATACATGCATCATGCAGTGACATTTTGTGAAATTTAAAGAGGTTTAAGACTTTAGATTTTCTCATTTCTTCAGAAAATAAAGTTTTTATAGGATTAGTCCACTAATTAGGTGGTATGAAGTTTAAATAAATTAATAGATGGAAAATAAGAAAAGATGACCATGTACCATGAAAATAAATTTAACATACATTAATATAAGTTTAGAATGTGATTAGGTAATTTTTATTCAACAATGAAGATTTGATAGCGATTATTCTATTGATTAAGTGGTATATGAAGTTTAAATAAATTACTCGTGATAAAATTAAAAATGATGCCCATATTCCATGAGATATTTTTAGTATACATTAATATAAATTTTGAGTGTGGTTAGGCATTTTCAAAAAAAACCACTCTAAAAATGCTAAACTCTTATATATATCATTTACTGGAAAAACTTGATATATTTGTAAGTTAATTTAAACAAATATGGTATTTTTGTTTTAATAGATAATTTTAATATACACTGACATATGATGAAGATTAAAGAGGTATGAGATCTTATTTGTCCCCGTTTCTCTAAAAAATATATATTTTATAGGGGCTAACCTACTGAATTAAGTAAAATAAATTTTATTAAATTACTCACTAAAATACTAGAAACAATTGTCATGTACCATGAAAATACTTTTACCATGTGATTAGGTTAATAATTAACCCAATATTTCAATTTTTTTTAGAAAATATGTATTTTAATGCATAGATGCATCATACAGTGACATAATATGAATATTAAAGAGGTTTAAGTCCTTAGGAATTCCTATTTCTCCATAAAATAAAGATTTGAGAGGGATTAGTCCACTAACTAAGTGGTATATGAAGTTTAAATAAATTACTCGTTCGAAAATTAAAATTGATGTCCATATATCATGAGAATATGCTTAAGATACATTAATATATATTTCGAGTGTGGTTAGATATTTTTAAAACAACACTATAGAGGTTAAACTCTTATATATATAATTTATTAGAAAAAGACTTGATCTATTTGTAAGTTAAAATTGAAAATATGGTAATTTTTTAGAAATTATGCACTGACATATGATGAAGATTAAAGAGGTCTGAGATCTTAGTTGTCCCTGTTTCTCTAAAATATATAGATTTTGTAGGGGCTAACCTACTGAATTAAGTGAAATAAATATTATTAAATTATTCACTAAAACACTAGAAACGATTCTAATGTACCATGAAAATACTTTTACCATGAATTAATATAAATTTAGCATGTGATTAGGTTAATAATTAATAAAGAGCCTAAACTTCAGAATCAAATATTTTTTGGAAAACTTGATATTTTCGTAGGGGTTAACACACATATTTCAAGAAAAATTAGAAATTATGATATTTTTATTTTAGTGTATACATGCACCATAAAGTGACATAACATTAATATTAAAGAGGTTTAAGACCTTATGGATTCCTATTTCTCCATAAAATAGTGATTCGATAGGGATTAGTCCACTAACTAAGTGATATATGAAGTTTAAATAAATTACTCATTGGAAATTAAAAATGATGTCCATATACAATGAGAATATGTTTAGTATACATTAATATAAATTTAGCATGTGATTAGGTTAATAATTAATAAAGAGCCGAAATTTCAAAATCTAATATTTTTTGGAAAATTCGATATTTTCGTAGGGGTTAAACCAACATATTTCAAGAAAAATTAAAAATTTTATATTTTTATTTTAATGCATAGATGCATCATACAGTGACATAATATGAATATGAAAGAGGTTTAAGACCTTAGGGATTCCTATTTCTCCATAAAATAAAGGTTTGAGAGGGATTAGTCCACTAACTAAGTGGTATATGAAGTTTAAATAAATTACTCGTTGGAAAATTAAAATTGATGTCCATATACCATGAGAATATGCTTAAGATACATTAATATAAATTTCGAGTGTGGTTAGATATTTTTAAAACAACACTATAAAGGTTAAACTCTTATATATATAATTTATTAGAAAAAGACTTGATCTATTTGTAAATTAAAATTGAAAGTATGGTATTTTTTTAGAAATTATGCACTGACATATGATGAAGATTAAAGAGGTCTGAAATCTTAGTTGTCCCGATTTCTCTAAAATATATAGATTTTGTAGGGGTTAACGTACTGTATTAAGTGAAATAAATATTATTAAATTATTCACTAAAATACTAGAAACGATTCTCATGTACCATGAAAATACTTTTACCTTGAATTAATATAAATTTAGCATGTGCTTAGGTTAATAATTAATAAAGCGCCTAAACTTCAGAATAAAATATTTTTTTTGGAAAACTCGATATTTTCGTAGGGGTTAACCCACATATTTTAAGAAAAACTAGAAATTATGATGACTTTATTTTAGTGTATACATGCACCATACAGTGACATAACATGAATATTAAAGAGGTTTAAGACCTTATGGATTCCTATTTCTCCATAAAATAAAGATTTGATAGGGATTAGTCCACTAACTAAGTGATATATGAAGTTTAAATAAATTACTTGTTGGAAATTAAAAATGATGTCCATATACAATGAGAATATGTTTAGTATACATTAATATAAATTTAGCATGTGATTAGGTTAATAATTAATAAAGAGCCAAAATTTCAAATTCTAATATTTTTTGGAAAATTCTATATTTTCGTAGGGGTTAGTTAACCCACATATTTCAAGAAACATTCAAAATTTGATATTTTTATTTTAATGCATAGATGCATCATAAAGTGACATAATATGAATATTAAAGAGGTTTAAGACCTTAGGGATTCCTATTTCTCCATAAAATAAATATTTGATAGAGATTATCATTCCACTAACTAAGTGATATATGAAATTTAAATAAATTACTCGTTGGCAATTAAAAATGATGTACATATACAATGAGAATATGTTTAGTATACATTAATATAAATTTAACATGTGATTAGGTTAATAATTAATAAAGAGCCAAAATTTCAAAATCTAATATTTTTTGGAAAATTCGATATTTTCGTAGG